CTAGATTCTTGTGGATTTTTTTCCTCTGGATGACATTTAAAATTCTCCTGATTTGAAAGGAGGCTACAAATGATGGAGTTGTAGATAGCTGTCAGCAGTGATTACACTGTTATTTTCAGTTATGTGCTATTTTCTCAAATTCAAAACGAAAATTTCTACTTTTATAGATTTTTTTTTTTCCTGCTTATTTCTGGGAAAATGACAAGTCACTCAACTGCAGTGATGCATACAATATATGTCTTAAAAATCATAATAGAAACAAACTGAGAATAGACTTAAAAGTAGCTTGTTTGCATTTTGTTTGGCCTCTAGAGCCACCAGTCAAGTCCTGGTTCCACTCTGCTTTGTAACTACTGTGATAAAAGTGGTTCCAGATACCTACATCCTACAGGAAAAACTGAGCTAAAATAATGGGATGTTTTTTATCAGGCACTGTGACATTGATTTCAGTGAGGCCATTTTTTTTTTTTTTCTGAGCAAATGCTTCTTGCTGGACATATTTTAAGTACTTTAAAATACGTGCTTCTGGAAGATGGTCTTCTCTACATGTAAACTTAATCATGATGTAAATAGTCAGAGATATGAAGAGTTGCAAACTGGTTTAAAGCAGAATTTTTCAAGCTGCTGAACATGTTTTACTCGGGCTGGCTGAGCTGTGGGTCCAATGGAAAATAAATTGTTGAGATTCAGTTCAAGACATAATGAGCCTTTAAAAAAAGCTAATATCTTTTAATATTCAGAAAAAAACAGCTGGAGTTTATTTTGTTTAAAATAATGTTGGGAATTAGAAACATTATTGAGAGCCATTTTGGAGGGGTCTCCCAATGTCCACCATTGTTATCTACAAGTAAATGCTACAAAATCTGCCATTTATTTGTTGGACTTATTAAATACTTGTGTTGAAAATAATTTTATTCTATAAATTGCTTAGGCAGCTTAATTTGCCTTGTGAGTGGTTACTGATTTTTGTGTGATTCAGGCTAAATTCAGCTGAAAAGTCATATTCCTCATTTCAATGAAAGAAAAAAGGTGCAAGTTCCTGGATTTTGTAGATAAAAACCATACAAGATTTTGTAATTGTCCCCAAAGGTTAAAAGGTCAAGTGTCTATTTGTTTTTCCATGAAAATTTCCAAAATGTCATGCCTTTGCATGATCTATTGTAATGTTAAATAGAATAGCATTGTCAACTGAAGAAAGAAAATAAACCCCTGTGATTTACAAATAAATCTCAAACAATTATTAATAATAGTTAGATTTTTGGTGAATGTTTTTTTGTTATTTTTTGAAAAAATGTGCTCAGTGTTTAGACAGTACCTGAGAATAATTACTTGGTTTCACTTCTGCATCTAAGCATTTTTAGGTTTTAAATTCACTTGCATAGAGTTAAGATAGCTCGATTAACATGGCTGTACAGCAGAGTTCAATTTCAGATTTTAAATAAGTCAAATACTAGAAATATTAAAAAAAATATGTGTACTTTTTCTTTTTTTCCCCTCGAACCTGAAGTTTGAGCCCAGAGGGCTGAAAGTTTATCACTGTCAATGCAAAGTGTTAAAATACACAAATTATAATTATTATTGTCCTGTATTTGTTTATGCTGTTCAGCCTTTGTCTAGTATATATAAAGGCTAGGAGTTACATAAACATACTTTTACAGCAAAGTAGTGTATTTCGGCACAATGAGGACAAGAAAGCAGTTTTAATTAATTTTTTAAAAAACGTTTTTATCTACTGGTGTTTTGCAGCACTGGCACTGACACTGCTGCACTGTCAGATGCCTCATTCGCATCAGCTGTTACTGGTCTGTTACAGCAATGGTGCGAGTTTGAACTTTGCAGTGGTGAATGATACAAGACATAGTTAACATTTCAAATATTACTTAACATTTCTTTGATGCCAGTCACAAGCTTTCCTTTCTGTATACTGCCCTCTGTTTCCTTTCACCTCTTTCCCCCTTCTGTCTTTGAGTCATCATCCATGATGTTACATTGTTTTTTGCTGTAACATACTGTTTCTTTGCTTGCTTGCTTCTTTGTGTTACATCTCACATATCTGGTGAAGAAGAGTTCTCACATTGGGCATCTCATGTCTTGCAACTTGGTGCTAGAGCCTGAGGTTCGTTGTCTTTACCAGTATCTTCTGCTGGAGGTAGGAGGGGGGAGGAATGGGACTGCTAATGATACAGTAAACATTGCATGAAATGCACGGACAGCGCATTCCCTGTTCTACGCTTTGGAGATCAAGCCTCTGAAGAAAGAAGACTACATCATAGGAAGTGTCACGAATTTGATTCAGTAAATGGCTTTTTGCTCCTTTTGACTTTTGGTTGAAAGAATCAAAATAAATTAATTCTTCATTCCCCCTAAAATGTCTGACTTCCTACTTTAATAGGTGGACTTGATACTTGTCGCCTGCCTGTCTGACAGGTGAAGAAAGAAGAGAGGTGTGACCATCACAGAAGTGAGACAAGGAAGATGGGGTGTAAGAATGAGTTAGGTGTGATCTTTGGAAGTTCCTGTCAGACCGTGTGGTGCTGTGAGTAGCTCTGGTTGTAGGTAGGCAGGAGGAGGCAGTGGAACAGCGGCCGTGGCTGCCAGCAGTCGTGTGGCCACAGAGATGGGAGTTGTCACATGTACATCACTTCTAATGTTCTTGTCACTCACAGCCGGGCACAGAGCAACAGCTGCTGAGTTTAGCTTTTTTCACTGTGCTGTGAGAGGCAAGGTGCGGAGGATTGCAGAGATGACTGCACAGTTAGCTGCCTTTAAGAAATAATTTTATTAGAATGCCCTTTGTAGGTAAAGAAGATTATTTTATAGTCGTTTTTTTAAATCTCTTTCCCACAGCAGGTTTATTTTCTATTGCATATTTGCTGTTTATTTTTAATTTCCGAAGAGGCAGTGTATTCCAGTTGAGTTGAATAACTCTGGAGGAGATATATTTTTCTTGCATTTAATTTTAAGTATATTATTTAGTCGTATTTATGATTCTGATCTATGTGTGTTTTGTTTGACCCATAATATTTTTTTAAAAAGTTAGGATGTACTTACTTGAATATTTTCTTTGTCTTAAGACAGTTTCTCAGTTCTGTTTAATAAGTTGGTGGTTTTCCTTACAAATATTCAAAGCAAGTGTGTGATGCTGACTCAAAAAGTTCTGTTGTTTTTTTAAAAGTGGACTGGTTTAAGAAGAGACTTGATTCCTGACCAATGCAAAGCTGGTGATAGACTGAGCATACACTGCCTTCTTAAATCTCCCCTGCTCTCCAAATACTTCAAGTTATTTGATTCTGATAAGACTTCTGGCGGCTTATTTTCCTTATCTATTAATCCCTTGCGTTTACTGTGTTTGTATTTTTTTTTTTATGATGCTTTTCTCTGCCCACATGTGGCAATTTTTCTTCCCTTTTCTGTGTGTCCTTTTGCTTTTTCTTTCAATTCACTCTGAAATGTAGGGACAAATTCAGCAACATTGCTTCTAAGTAGAAATGCTCTCTACAGGGTGCTACCTGCTGAATGAAACTCTCCAAGCACATTGAGGAGATGTTACTGATGACTTCTAAATAGGAACATTTTACTAACTTCTGTAATACATTTCGTTTCAGCTGTCGAAAAGAAGTAATATATTAAAAAAAAGTCGTGAAATTTTAAGCCATCTGTTGGTTATTTCTTGATTTTGTACATTATTTTGTCTTTTTTTTTTTTTCTGTGTATGAGTTCAGAATCTCTTACCTCACATTACCAAGCAGACCTGAGCCTTTCCTATTGCTTGAGTGGAGGTACATCATGTTATGTATGAATTTTGGTATGATTTGTTTATACTGTGTTTAACATGTGAAAAAAAAAACCACACTGTCTTTAGAGGGCAATAGCTGTAGTTAGTGGTGTCTTTGGGCATAAATACTGTCTTTAGAGGAAAAGATGGTTAACCTTCTGTGGTTTTTTTTTTTTCTTTATGCTTTCTCCAGTAAATGCTCTGAAATACAACCCCAAATTTAAATTCCTTTTTTACATCTATGCTTTTTTTCATTCTCTCTCGGTGGTCTCCATTAGAGTATTTTCTACTCTAAAGAAACAAGGGAATTATGACCTTGCTTCTGTTGTATTGCCAAAAAAGAAATGCAGAAGAGTTTTGCCCTCTTTTTTTTTAATCTGTGTCTAGACATTGAAAATATTCCAGAATGGTCATTTTAGATGTGGTTAAATATTTTATAAACGTTTGTTTGCCAACTTCAAATTTCTTTTTATGTATTCAGATATAATAAATTTTCAACCTGAGTGTCTTTTATTTTGTAACTTCTCTAGACTGATCAGGACATAGGGACAGAAAGGTAGTAGTTACATGTATCATAAAGGCAGGAAAAGAAAACAGTTTCCTTAAATCTGTTGTCTGTTTGAGACTGGATTTGGAATGATACCAGGGTACTTTCAACTCTCTAAAAAGGAATTATCTGTGTATTTCCTTGGAAACTACAGAGAACCATCCAGTGAGAGTTTCTTACATGTAAGGCTTTGGTCGTGTTTTATAATTTGTGTGTACTGATTGCAGATTGTAGTTTAAAAGATAATGCACAGGTTTCCTGTTGTAATGGTATTGTTCTGCAGAGGCCTCATGAATACTTAAGTGTTCTTTTCTTTTTCTCTATTGAAGAGATCCCTGTCCTTAAAGTTTCAGTTTGTAGCCTTAATTTGGGTGAAGAGTTCTAAATTTTAAAATATAACATAAAGGGAAGGAATTTTTTATGTCTGTTTTGACATCTTCTCCAGACAAGATTTTGAGGAGAAGGGTAAATAAATAGAGAGATTTATGCTTTTTTTTTCCAAGTTAGACAAAAGCACAGGGCTTTGGATCAGTACGTAGTTAACTTGAACATGCAAAAACTTGCTGTACACACCTGGCCCAAGGACTTATGAATGCTCCAAGCAAGGAAAACACTTGATAAACATTTGGTACTACTGGTAGGATTGGAACTCTTACGTTTCAGCTCTGCTGTTCGTAAATGGCTGTTGTTTGCCCGGACTGTCGGGATGCTGGACAAGGACCAGTACAGTTTGCTGCTGTTTGTCTGTGCCTTGTAGTTTTATATAGCTTCCCTCCCTCACTATATTTTTCAAAGGGCTATTACACAGGTATTTGTAAGGGTGGAAAATTATCAACACTTAGTTTTCTCCAATGTTTTACATATTACATGTTGTGAACAATCCCCAAGTGAAGTCTAGATTAGATATCATAGACACAAGCCTTCAATAGTGTTTGAATGGAAATACAATAGTATCTTTATTTGTGCTTTATAGGAAGAAAAGGCTTCTCTCCTGCATCGTACTCAGGAAGAAAGAAGAAAACGAGAGGTAAAGTAGACTGTAAGCGTTTTCGTGCATGTCGGGTTTTTCTTTGATGTAGTAACATTAGAATGCTTCTCCTTCAGTCGTACTAAGTTGAGGAATGTTTTGTTTAAGTTTGCAATTTCTATATACTTTTCCGGTATACTAGAATTGACAACTGACTGCTTTTAAGATGCTTCCCAGAATGATTTTCATCTCAAAACAAGGTAGTTAAGCATGCACTGGATGCAAAGTGAATTTTTATTTTGGTGTTCATTGGATCAAGTCTTTGTTTGAGAAACGGTAGGTATTTGACTAGTAAATTGCATTTTTTACCTTATCTGTAATCTGTTACTGTGGATTGGCCTCAGCAAACTGTCTTCTGTTCCTGCTTTTGCTGTGATTTCTTAGATAACCTTCAATAATTCAATAGTTTAATGAAATTAAAGTGAGTATATTCACTTTGTCATTCTTTTTTCCCTCCCTTCTGAATTGAAAAAATAATTTGATCTTAAAAATTACTAAAAAAGTATAACTTTGCAGGTTTCACGCTAATCAAGACAACAGAGCTGTTTGACTCTTGAAGATGCGTGTGTCCATTCCTGGATTAAATAGAGGTTCTACATTGGCTCCTCTTTGTCAGCACAGTTACTGCTTTTTGTTGTTTCCAACCTAGATGGTTAATTATGGACCAACTTTTAAGTATGAAGTTACTAGGATTTCAGCAGTTAGTTCAGAATGCTGTGTTATGAATCAATTTTATGGTCATTGAGTCCTTACCAACATATGCAAGAAGTCTTCTGTGCTTCATAAACTTTTTGCTATATATTGAAATAACCCATTTGGTTGCTTATTTGTCTGCTGCAAAGCTGGTGCTGAGTCACAGACTCATGTCTGTATATGTGTGTGCATACACACAATGATTTTCTGTGGCACATGCTAGATTCTCACAAAATTAATGAATCCTCTGAGAATAAAATCAGTTATGGCTTTTAAAAAGTTGCCTGTAACAGAATCCTAGCAGTGACCTCAGACTTAAAATCTTTGCAATTATGGGTCGCTAATTGACAATTATGTATTCTAGAATAAAACCGGTACTTAGATAAAAGGAGAACATAGCTACTTTTTAGTCACGCATGACTTTATGATTATGAAGAGACAGTGCCTTTCTGTAATTGAAACTCTATCCCACTTGCCCCTGCATTTGCACTTTTACTGTTACTTTGGAGAGAAAAATATCCTTTGGCCTATCAAAATCTTGATTTTTGGTCCACGCTCAAGAGGTAATTAGTCTTTCAAGTATATGCTTATTCAGAGAAAATGCTTTAGGAACTGGGTTTTCCAAGAAAACTAGACTAGGCTATCCAATAAAATTGGATAGCAATTTCATCTGGTGCTTCTCAGGTCAGTTCAGGTCAGTTACGTTCATAAGTTGGATGTGTCTTCTTGGGACAATAAATTAGAAATCAAGTTTTTGTGAGGAAGTTTATGTGAACTTTCCGAATGTATTTTAATGAAATTAAGTTTTGGTTTGCTTGATGGCCCTCAGAATTATGGCTCATTATAGTTCAAGGATTGATTAGGTTAAAACATTTCTCCTTGAAGCAGGTTTCTCTGCTTTTTGTACTTTCTTGATCTTTGTACTTTCCCTTCCTTAACCACTGCTTTATAGCTCTAAGTTCACGAGCAAGTATTTTATTTACTACCCTCTCTCATCCCTTTAAAACTATATGGACATTGCTAGAAAACTAATAATTGTAGCCAGTTCTCTTAGGGATATGCTGAGTGTTGTGAGGAGGCACCCGAGTGCTCTTTCCGTACTACCTTAAACAAACTGGCTTTCAGTTCCTCAGAAAGTGAGCCCTTGTGAAGGGATGATTTTATCTGCTCTTTCCAGCTACTGAGGAAGACCCCGTAAACCAGCTCACTTTATATGTCTTTTTTGAAGGAGAGAGGAAGAATTTTTATTAAATTCTATGTTGTGCTCCTGGGATAAAAGCATTAAGCCTCATTTTCTCTTTGACATCAGTATTGTCTCCAAATAGCTGATTTTTTTTTTGCATGAGGGTTGTTTTTTTTTTTTCCCCCTCCACATCTTAATGCTTCAGCCTTGTAATACTGATCTGTTATTTGAATGGAAACAAGTGGGTCTTCAGCATTAGCTGATCTGTGCAGAAAGAGGAATGGTGTAATTGAATTTGGTGAATTCTTCAACATTTTAGATTGAGACTTTGTATAATAAAATACAGTTGTGTTTGTTTTCTCTAGTATTATGTATATACAGAGTATTAAAAATTCTTTTGCAATATCTTAGTGATATATTTACACTTAACATAAAAAGCTTTCTTCCTAATATATATGTATTGGATGCTAACTTCAAATGTTTTATTTTGCTGATGATTAATTTTTAATTTCATAATAAAAAATCCTTTTGAATACAGAATATTTGATAAAATGTTAAAAATTTAGAGTCAATTCCACAGTGTTGATTTCAATTTTCTTGCTTTGTTTTACAGGAGGAAAGGCGGAGGCTGAAAAATGCAATAATAATCCAGTCATTTGTAAGAGGGTACAGAGACAGAAAACATCAAGTAAGTATTTATTTATTTGTAAAATTGTAAATGGTTTTGCTGAAAAATTAGCCTTTCTAGTAATAACTAATTCCACTGAAAAATCTTTACCTTTCTGAGCATAGTGTGTGCCCACAAAGCAGAAGTTCTTTTTTGCTCTTGACGTTTTCTTTTGAATGTCAGCATAGGCGGGTGTTTGTTCTGCAGAGCATGTCTGTGACAGTGGGCTTCAACAGGGTGACACAGGGGTTTTTTGAGCTGACAAAGCAAATGACAAGTTAGGGATTAGCAGCTTTCATGCAGCAGTGGGGCTTTTTTTCTTTCACCAGTATTGCTAAGGTGGTACTTTGAGTCAAAAAGATGTTCTCTCTAAGCTATATTTATTGAGTAAGCTGGACAAAAATGATTAGTGTGATACTCTTCACTTGAAAAGCAACGTATTTTTTGCAGCGTGTACTTTCTGAATTACAGGAAGCAGTTATGGCTTTAACTGTGATACTGTGTATATGTTGTGATCTCTTAGCAAATATATGCTGTATCCATTTTATTACTTTGCAGCTACTTTGGATGGGAAGCCAAAGTGAAATTTTTAAAATTTTGCATCTCTGTTTTAAATTGTAACTGTTACTGATATATTGATGCATGTCTTTTTTTGAAGTACTCTATCCAAAGAAGTGAATTTGATCGCTGTGCTGATTTGGCCCAATCTGGAGGAACCTTTTCCACTGCTAACCGAGCTAATTTGACTCTTTTAGTTCGTCAGTTACTCTTTTTCTATAGGCAGAATGAGGATTCTAAGCGTTTGGTGAGTACTATTATTTACTTTGATCTGTAGTGCTTTTATTTCCTGCACTTTTAAAGTACTCTTGAAGGAATGCAGAAAAGGCTTTGACCACTTAACAAAATTAAGAATTCTGGCATTTGCTGGCCTGCCTTCTGCTTTTTCTCATTTGAACAGAATAATAAAATTAGATTTTTTATGTGCATGCACACAAAAAATGTGTGCAATGAAGCCTTGAAAAATCCTGTGTGTGTTATTCCCAGTAATTTATTAAAAATAATACATTAGAATCTGATTTTAAAACAATATTTTCCACTTAGCCCTCGGTCATTTGTAAGGTGTTTGGGTTTGTTTGTTTTTTTTTCCCCCCTCACTGATCAGTAATGCAGTGATATCAGTTGCAAAGCCACTACAAATATACCAGATGTATGAGTAACTGTGATTGATAGTGGATATTAATAATGGACGTTAAAGAACTATGGCTGTTTAAAAACAAACAAAAAATAAATTTGTTGCAAGAGCAAAGTTATTTGTAAGCATAATTGAGGCTTAACTTTCAAAGTTTAGTACTAGAAGTCATATAGTTTTATGTTGTGTAAATTTCTCAGCTGAAAATTATTGTCCTATAAAGGTGTTCAAAAGAGGATTGAAATATTACTGCCTGTGTTGCAGTAAATAATACGACTTGTTGTTAGAAACATTAAAGTTGTGTATATCTTTTCCCAGGTGTGGATGTGTCAGAATTTAATTAAACAGAGTTCTCAGTTTGTTAAGCAATTGGATGGTCCAGACAGACTTACTTGCTTATTCCAAATAAAAAGACTGTTGGGGCTATGTTGCAGGTAAGTTCTTTTTCCTATGTGCTACTGTCTAAAAAGTGTTCAGAAATTACGTCAGGCACTTGTTTGATTTTGCCGCACGTGAAGCATAAAATTGAAATTTGTTTTATGGGGAGGACTATTTATGTTAAGTATGTGTAATATTGTGGCAAAAAAATGTTAGTTTGATTGCAGCTACATCTGCAAAAATGGTCTTGTCAGAGTTTTTTTCTGTTTAGTTAATGCCTTAGCTGTAGTGTTAAAATACTTTTTGCTGATATGTCCCATCTTTCAGAATGCCTGGGGAAGAAAGCAAAGTAGTAGGACAGCTACACCTGTATACATCTTTTACTATCACATCCTTTTAATTCTAAACAGACTCTTAATCTTTACCATGTCTGTGGTTACTGATAGTCATAAGCAACTTGCTAAACAGGTAGGGATATTTCAGTCTGTAACCAGATGTCTCATTTTATTTATACGTATGACTTTCCCCAGCATTTGTTCCCAGCTCCTATTGCTGTGGGGCTTTCACGGCTGCGTTTTTAATCTGAGCAGTAATACATGTGGGAAAAACATGTATTATTCTTTGCTTCTCTTTCAGATCATGCAATAGACCTCCAAACTTTCAAGTCATGCAAAGCAAGATTTAGTAGGATTTATAGAGTGCCATATTAGGCACTCTGAGATCAGGAATAATTATTATTTTTCTAAAGGTGTGAACAAAAAGATGCAGCTAAGCTACTGAGAACACTTGAAAACCGAGTAGAAATAAGTTATTTTAAGGTGAATGTGAAAGGTTTTTTGTAGTTTTAGTTTTAAATCAGTGTGCATATGTCTGTGGTGAAGTAAGAGAAATTTCCTGTTAAATAGTTTTGATTTCATTTCATTTATAGGCTTTTGCAAAATTGCAATGATGACAGTCTGAATGTTGCACTTCCTATGAGAATGCTTGAGGTATTTTCATCTGAGAATACATATTTGCCTGTTTTACAAGATGTCAGCTATGTGACATCATTAGTTGAACAAATTTTGCACTACATGATTCAAAAAGGTGAGTAGCTAGGAACTAGAGATTCTGGGAAATTCTCAAAAACTGTGCAGAATGTGTAATACCTGAAGAGCATTTTCTTTAATTGCATTTTTTCCTTTAACTTGCGTTGTACAGACACGATGAATTAAGTGCTGCTCACACTAAGCTGTACATTAGATGGATATCTTGCTCATAGTGAAATCACTGCTTGGGAACTTACTGTTTGCTTTCCTTGGAAATTCTGTTTATAAATTGAATATTGTACCATACTCTACCAAGAATTTTACCACTGATTTTGGGAGTAGGTGGATATTACCTAACAAGTTTTATTCCTGTGGCTGCTTATGCATCCATACGCACATGTGCACATGCACACACTGTGGCAGATCTAAACTTGAGTCGTCTAAGAGTTGAGCCTTGTGTTGCACCGTTCTCCCTGACTGCTAATGTTCGTTATTACTGTCAGTTGTCATTACCTGTTCATCCTGTTAACACTAGAGACACTTTAGCAAGGAGATGGTGCCCTGGCTTTTATTTCCCTTGTACCATCATGGGCAGTTTGTTTGCTAAACTGCAATCACTTACACCTGTGCAAACATTCTGAAAGTTAATGAATTGTGTAGCTGTCACTAAAAATATGTTTTGTCTGGGAGAAACTTTATTACTCTGGGAAAACATGAAAAAATTAATTTGGCTTTCTAATACTGTAGCTTGAGTTTACAAGACTTGTGGATGGGAAGAAAAGACAAAACCATTAGGAAATAAACATCTGGGATCCAGTTTCACTAGTAAAAAATGCAAAAAGAGCACCTTTCAGTTTGTTGGTTAGTTAGTTGTTAGAACAATTCTATGTAAATTTACAATTCTATGTAAATTTACATTCAGTGGACTAGGCTATCTTAACCTCTTACTGAGGGTTCTGTTTTAATTACTACATGTTGGAGTCACTATGAGAAAAAATTACTCTAACTGGAGCACATTTTACTTGCCTAGGCATAGATAAAACTATAGAAGTATTTGTATTTGTCTCATTGCTTACTACATAATAAGTATGTCTTCCAAAATACTTATATTTGTTCTTCTAGTATACTAGTCAGTCCTTGCAACTCATCATGGCTGGGCTTCGCGAACGAAGATATAGGAAGGGCTCTACCCACACTTGCTACAAGCGTTAGATGTTAGATCATAAATTTTAGTGAAAAATATTCAGCATTCTGATCACTTACAGGGAGAAGAAAAAGCAAGGTTATGTGCATCTACAAGTGTTATGTCTCCTAATTGTTCATGATGGTTAGTTTGTAAAGAATCTGTAATCAGCTTTTATTAGTGTATGGTTTTGCATGTAATTACTCTTCTGTGTACATCTTGTCAGCATTGCTAAATTACTCATTTATGGTGGCTTCTGCTTGTTGCATTGTGTCCCCCCCACAGAGGGTCTTAGACTGGACCCCTTGATTGTACGATGCTATTATGCATTTACAGTTGTTCATCTGGTCTTCTGGCTTAGTTTAGGAGTTCACTGAGCAGGAGGACGTTGGTTTAAGAAGAATGAAATCACGTGATTCCATTTGTACTTGAGTGAGATAAAAATAGCTTCCCCTCTACACGCGTCTTTCTGGCTTAGATGGCGATGCGTTTTATTACTGCCTGAGAGCTCCCTGTTGCAGAAACAGTAATTGTGTTCAGACTGCAAAGGGAAATGTTTGTAGAAGTGAGACATTCTGCCAAGAGGACTCTTACCTGTATGATGCTGTCATGCTTTGGAGCAGAGGGGAAAACTCTTCATTTCTGAAAGGATGGAATGGCAGCTGTCATAAACGTGACAAGAGTCACTCAGAGAAGAAGAGAACATCTTTTTTCATAGGTCACTATTTAAAAAAAAATCTAATTGTTTATCAGCAGAAGTGATCAGTGTTTGAAAATCAAACTGACTCTGAACAGAATTATCTATCTATATTTTTAAAGCAATGTTTCCAAAGAGATTCCTGGTATAACTGGTGAGTTATGCGAGTATGACTTGGACCACTATAAAATGTCTTAATTCATCATGCAATGAGTTGTAAAGTGTTTTTGTAAAGTGTTTTTCAAGTTAAGTATATCAGTTGTCTTATGTGGAAAAGAGGAAAAATAATAAACTGCATTTTAAAAGTGTTATTTCTTATCTGCAGGCTACTACAAGTCGCTTTATTTGTTAATTAACAATAAGCTTCCCTCGAGTATTGAGTATTCTGATGTTTCTCGAGTCCCTATTGCAAAAATACTTCTGGAGAATGTTCTGAAGCCATTGCACTTTACGTATAGCTCCTGTCCAGAAGGTGCAAGGTAAATAGAGATAATATTAGATGTTTGTATTCTCGCTTGCTTTTGTCAGAGGTGCGAAGTTTGTTGTCAAGTATCTGGCTATTCTTTCAGTGCACAATTTGTTGATTTATTTGCAGTAGTAATGATTTTTTTGGTAATGCTGTAAAATAATGAAACAATGTAGTTTCAGGTGTGTTTAAGAAAAAGGCAATAAAATGCTGAAGACTGTAATAAACAGAGCACAGGGAATAGCAGATGTCACAGTATGTTGGAACATAGGTGTGCAAAACCTTATATGAGAACAGATGCAGCTAAGGGCAGATCAAGAATTTTAGAATTAAGAACTTTGTGACAGGCGCTGAGGTTTATGGATAGAAGTAACTAAGTTATAGCTTACAAGCAGGAAGAGTCATGTAGAAAGATGGAACAAAAACTCTGGTTATATCACATATGATAGTGTTTTTGTATTAAAGTAGTATTTTGGAGGAAAACGACTTCTTTTTAAGTTTATTGTTTAAAGATTATAAACAATAAATTTAACTTCAGAATCATTCTCTGTGAGTTCATGAAACATTTAAAGAATAAAATTACATGGGTGATCATCAGGAAAAGGATGTAGTATAAGTTAATTTTTGAGAATTCTGAGGAATTTGGTTTATTAAGCACAGGATTAATGGAGTGAATCTTACAGTTTTCTTGCTGAATGTGTTCAAACTTGCAAATTGATCTGTTGTTCCCTGGATATAGTTGTGGGAAATTTTGCCTGTATTCTCTGTAAAGACAGTTCTTTTTCATTTCAGGCAGCAGATTTTTGCAGCCTTCACAGAGGAGTTTCTGGCAGCACCTTTTACAGATCAGATATTCCATTTCATCATTCCAGCGCTTGCTGATGTGCAGACCGTTTTCCCCTATGAACTCTTTCTGAATGCACTATTATTAGCAGAAAGTGGATGTTCAAGAAGAACTGATCAAGCTCCATGGCTTTTCTACTTTGTGTTAACAGTTGGAGAAACGTATTTGGGTGAGAAAGCTGAATGGCTAATTAATTGGTTTTTCATATTTGAGCTAATATGTTTTGTATTTCCATAATATGGTTCATTGCCAAACAAAAAGGACAGCTTGTGCATAAAAGGATTGATCTAGTTTTTTAGCTATTCTTACTGTTTTCAGTAAAAAACACACGTCATTTGGGAAGATCTGTTTTGGTTAGGTATTTCTAGTAGAGTATATTTTTTAGTACAGTGTGATCTAACAATCTTTTATTTCAATGTATGTGCTGTAGGATCCCTTTCAGAGGAAGGTCTTCTTGTATATTTGAGGGTACTTCAAACTTTTCTGTCTCAGCTGCCTGTGTCTGCTGCGGGTACAAATTGTCAAGATGCAAACAGTGATTCTGAAGATGAGGATGAAGAGATCAGTAAAATGACAACTACACCAGTAAGCAGTACAGAATTTTTTTGTGTAAATTTGTATTATAGCAGCAAATATAGGCAAACCCATGATCTGGTATTTTTCTAGCTACATATTCAAGGGAGCATGTTTACTTCTTAAAAGTAGATGGCTCCTCACTTAAAAGAACATTGAACTGGTTGCTTACATTAAAAGCAAACACCACATTACAGTAAGAGATCTTAAAGCACAGGTAGTGTGTCTGCTGAAGGACACATATTTAACAAAAAAAAGTTTAAACTTTTCTTTAAATTGGTATTTTATAGAGACTCTGTTACTCTCTGTATTCTTTAAGTCTGATGATGTTATCATGAAACATACTGATCTGATCTTCCTACTTAGTATTTTATTTTTTTTTCTCATGGAAATATTAGAAGTTCAGCTATGCTCTTTACCCTATAGAATTAGCACTGATTTAAATATATCCACTACTTTGAAAGCCCTCGAAGGGGAAACACCTATTTATAATACAGTTTCTATGCATTATTATAAAAAAACTACAGAAACAGATTAGAGGGTCGTTAGGAGCAGTCAGGATAATTTTACTAAGGGGAGGTCGTGTTTGACCAACCTGATAACCTGGGGACTCGAGGAAAGCAAATGTCACTCCAGTCTTCAAAAGGGGCAGGAAGGAGGACCCAGGTATCTACAGACTGGTCAGCCTCACCTCCACCCCTGGAAAGCTGATGGAACAACTTATCCTCAGTGCTGTCTCTAGGCATATCAAGGATAAGAGGGTTGTTAGGAGCAGTCAGCATTGTTTTTCCAAAGGGAAGTCATGTTTGACCAGCCTGATAGCCATTTATGAGGACATAACCAGGTGGATAGATGATGGCAGTGCAGTGGATGTGATTTACCTGAATTTCAGTAAAGCATTTGACACCATCTCCCACAGCATCCTCGTAGCTAAACAGAGGCAGTGTGGTCTGGATGATCGGGTAGTGAGGTGGGTTGTGAACTGGTTGAATGGAAGAAGTCAGAGTTGTGGTCAATGGGACAGAGTGTAGTTGGAGGCCTGTGTCTAGTGGAGTCCCTCAGGGGTCGGTACTGGGACCAGTTCTTTTTAATATATTCGTCAGTGACCTGGATGAGGGAACAGAGTGCACCGTCAGCAAGTTTGCTGATGACACAAAACTGGGAGGAGCAGTTGACACCCTAGAAGGCTGTGCTGCCATTCAGCGAGACCTAGACAGGCTGGAGAGTTGGACAGGGAGAAATTTTAGGAAATACAACAAGGACAAGTCTTGCACCTGGGAAAGAAGAACCTCAAGTACCAGTACAGGCTGGGGACTGATCTGTTGGAGAGCAGCCTGGGGGAAAGGGACCCGGGAGTTCTAGTGGACAGCAGGATGGCCATGAGCCAGCAATGTGCCCTCGTGGCCAAGAAGGCCAATGGCATCCTGGGGCAGTATTAGAAGGGGTGTGGCTAGCAGGTCGAGAGAGGTCCTTCCCCCCTCTACTCCGTGCTGCTGAGGCCACATCTGGAATATTGTGTCCAGTTCTGGGCCCCTCAGCTCAAGAGAGACAGGGAACTGCTGGAGAGAGTCCAGCGCAGAGCCACAGAGATGCTGAAGGGAGTGGAACATCTCACTTATGGGGAAAGGCTGAAGGAGCTGGGTCTCTTTAGCTTGGAGGAGAAGAGGAGGCTGAGGGGTGACATCATGAATGTTTATAAATATCTCAAGGGTGAATGTCAGGAGGATGGAGCACGCTGGAGCATAGTAGGTTCCACAAAAACATGAGGAAAAGCTTTTTCACTGTGAGGGTGACAGAGCCCTGGCACAGGCTGCCCAGGGAGGTTGTGGAGTCTCCTTCTATGGAGACATTCAAAACCCGCCTGGACACATTCCTGTGTGACCTACTCCAGGTAATCCTGCTCTGGCAGGGGGGCTGGACTAGATGATCTTCCAAACCCTAACGTTCTGTGATTCTGTGAATCCTTACTAGCTTTAACCTAACACTATGATCAAGACTTAGAACAAAGTTGGAGAGGCATAAATTCAACAGTTTCTTACTGGCCTTTGTATAGTCTCTTTAAAGACTCTACTATTCAGAGTACTTATGCAGTGTGCAGTCTTTCCTCGTGGAATGTGTGAAATTTTGCCATATTTAGGGTTCATTAAAAAATGTCTCAAAAATTAATTGCATCCTCACACTGGGCTATGAATTATGGATTTCTGTGTCTCTCAGGCATTCTAAGCCTTTGTGGCATTTTCTTGATTAAGTGGTGAAGGCGAAAGTGTACCAGCTCTTCCAAGAGACACTGTTTCTATAATGCCTACTTAAATTTTGTGTCAGGTTGTGGAGAAGCATGCACGAGCTCTGAGATGGTGGAAAATGAAATTCGCTTTATTGCAGGCAGACACAAGTATTTATACTTATTAGCAAGAAGCACTATTTGTGGGTTACAAACAAGAGACCAGACTATGCGGCCAGGGCTGTTATTAGCTCATACACTCCTTCCATCACTCTCTTGTCACAGAGGGAGAACAGACTTTCCCAGGTCTGTTTTGGTCATCTCTCCCATTCACTCCCATGCACATCTTTTGTACGAGAAGCCTCTTATCTGTCCATTCTCACAGACAAACTCCCAACATGAGCTGTACTCAGTTGGTCAGGGTCTCTTTTCATTATTAGCAAGCAAGAGTTAGGTACTTGTTTAGGAAAGAGCTCAAGGATGAAAGTCTTTCTGCAATGCAGTGCTGCCAACACAGCTAACTGTAAAATGTAGGGTATCCACATCAGGTGATGTGAACAAGGCAGCATTTTTAAGACCTCGCTATTGAGAGTAACCTCTTATGAAGAGCCATACTGCTGGGGAGTACATGCAACCTTTTACTTCTGCCTTTTTAGATGCACTATTTTACTGTTATCAGAAAATCTTTCCTGAGATAGTGTGAATAAAATACTTAATTTGCCAGACATGCACACACTGTATGTGATGTAAAATATTGGCAGATTCTAGTAGTGGCGTAGAGAAGCTGGTAATGTTTTAAGAGATGATAAGGTAAAAACAAAGCATAAATTTCTGTTAATAGGTAACTTAGAGTAATTTATAAATTAGGGAAAATCTCTGAGGAGGCTTCAATACATAATGCTGTGTATTGCAGACTGCTTTGTGTGTGTTTCTCCTCCGAGATGATGTTTTCCATATTTTCATACATGCCTGTCTTACAAACAACAGCAACAATAAAAGGTGAATGGGGAACCCCTCCGTATTAAAAATTCCCAATTGGATAACTCGTGTCCTTCAGTGAGCCAGAGTGCTCACCTCTGTTGAGGGCAAGATCAAGAGATGAAATAAGGAAAAGAAGAGATTCTATGCCAAGAGAAAACATTCTTCTTCATACGCTTCTGGTACTATGCAAGCATGTATAAGCCACCCTCAAATTTTTTGTTGTTTAACCCATGGTTGATGAATGTGGAAGTACTGTCTGTAAAGGAACTTAAGAATAGACATGAATTTTTGGATTTTGTATCCATTTCTGACTGATGTCAGTGGGGAAGAGAGAACTATTCGCTTATGCCACCAAATGATCTTTCCTTGTTTTATCCAAGTGTTGTGGAACTTGTCAACATTAAAGGGAGACTTTCCTGCTGGCCTAAGTGAAAAAATCCACAGCCCAGCAGTTGCCTACCTAGGGACTTAAGTTGGCTCTTGGGTGTTACACTTTTAAGAATGCTACTGGGATATACATACGTGCTTATGTGTTAGTTATTGTGCAAGAAAACTTTTTGTTCTAGTAAAATTTTGAAATATTTTTTAAAAAGGGGATGCTTGATCATTAAAAAGACTTAAAGCAGGTTTTTTTTATATGTGTTTGTAGGGCGATGGGAGAATATCGGTTCAGTATGTAACTGAGGAGTGTCTGAAGAAGCTGGATACAAAGCAGCAGACAAACACTCTACTGAATATGGTTTGGAGAGATTCAGCTAGCGAAGAGGTCTTTACCTTGATGGCATCAATCTGCCACACACTAATGGTACAACACCGAATGATGGTGCCAAAAGTCAGGCAAGTATAAATGACAGTGATGTGGAACTGTAGTACCTCTAAAACTGGGTTTATTGGGTAGACTTGTTTTAAATAATGTGTGGGGGATCTTCTGTGTTTTATGATCAGCTGAAATAAATTTAAGCATTTCAGAAATTAAATAATAATTCTAGGCAAACCAAAGAGTGAATTCCTTCTTTTTCTTCGTTTTCTTCTTATTCATTGTGCTCTCTGAAGTAATCACTGAATCCAAAAGTGTAAGCTCTTGGTTTGTTTAGTGAGTTGCAAATAAATTAGTATTCTACCACCACACTGAGGACTATGGAGGAGGTAGTGTTTGTCATGAGAAAATTGCACACAGAGAGGGATTGCAAAGATTGTTGAAAGGGCTTTATCCGTCCCCTTGCTCAGAGACAGTGTAAGTGTTGTTCTAGCAGAAGTTAGCCTAGCTTGTTTTTAAGTGGTATGGATTCCACAGTCTCTTTAGCTGGCTGAGCAGTGGAACCAGCTTGTTCTCTACCCTCTTTAATATATAGCCAGACTCTCTCTTGCTACAATTAAAATGATTCCTAACTGTTAAAAATCACTGTTTTGGGGAAGGGCATTTGACACCTGAGATGGAGATAAAAGATGTTCTCCTTTGGACAGCATTCTTTTACAAAGACTGCAAACCACAAATGTCAGTAACAATGGAAGAAGATTTTTGACCTTTTTATTATCGGACTAAGACCCATAAGTATTAACACTGCTCTGGTGCAAATAGTTTTGAATAAGTATGTAGTTGCTGGTAGTAAAGTAAGTATTTAGGGAATGTTGTAAACATAATCAATTCAAACTGCATTGTAAACAGTGATACAGAAAACTAATTAGGTGCTATCTTTGCCCAGTGGTGTTTACAGCTGTTGGAGGAAGTAAGATGTCAGTGAAACTGTGATTGCTCGATTAGGGTAATTAGTTCTTTGTAGAGTAATTGCATTAGAGCAGGATGTGAGACCTGAAGATCATAGCAGCAGTTGAATGAGTATGCCCGCTTTATTGTTGGAAGTAGTACATTGCCTTGGATAGTAATTACTGAGTTTAAATGCATCATTGCTTTGACTTGAGGTTTGCTGGTGAACTGTGTGAAAAAGGGTGTTTAGTGAATAAAGAAGTCACACAGAACTTTAATTGTACGGGTACAGCATCTATTTCCTCTGAGCAGCCGTATTGGGTCTTTGCAATTATTCGTGCTAACAAGCTAGTTAATGTATTGGTTAAATTCAGGAGTTATGAAAGCTCTAGTGAACGTCTTGCAACGGAAAATATTTTACAAATTTTACGTTTTGAATAGCTCCAAAACAGCTGAATGTACCAATTTTAGAAATAAGTAGTAGAGATACTAAGATTCGTGTCAGTAATACCAATGCAATTACTTTCATGGTCAACATGAGTTTAATTCATACAGATATTTGGTAAATTAAAGTAGACATTTAATTACTAGTTCTGACTTCCAAGTCAATCATAAGCGTTGGGTTTGCCAGGCATCATCACGTCAGGAGGTGACAATCTTCTGTTCCCAGTACGTTTTAGACCGAGCTTAAGTTACCAAGCAGCTATTCTAAATATTATTTTTGAGTGCTTTTCAAAAGACATTTGCTGCTTGCTTTCAAGGTAGTAAACATTGTGCCATTTTGAAAGACAAATTATTTTTTGTCATTAAATTCCAAACTTCTTTTAATTGCCTGTTGATTTTTTTTAATGCCCAAATTATTTTTGTCAATTTTAATTACAGTCTTTTGAAAGATGCTTCACTTGTTTTGAAACTAGCTTTTAAATTACTCAGCAAAATGTATCTAATTAAACCATGTAGAAACATTTAAGCAGAAATAATAATTTTTTTAAAACTATTTTTAATATATTCTGAGAGCTCAAAATTTTCTTATTTTCTCTTTGGAGACATACTGGGTCAAATTGATTAAAAGATAGGAAAGGTTGCTGCAAAGACTTTACCTCTTTGACAGCTTTTACAACTGTAATAGAAAATAATGACAACATAAAGGCTGCAAATCTTCAAAGTGGGATGCTAAATAGAGTAATAGCTGAAAATAACTTTTCAATAACTTTAAAGAAAATTAAGCCGAAGTTAACACAGGCTTTGGCATGGAGGAAATGACAGATATCTCTGGATTATTTTAATAGTTCCGAGTCTTTTTTCTGTCTTGAAAAAAAGATGAGGAACTCATAGTATAGACTTATGTCACTCCGTGAAAGCTGTGTGCTTTTTCTTCTTGGGGCTTCATTTGACTGATGATGATGCTGTGTGGTGTTAGGAGCATTGCTGTTGCTACGTTAGCTCGGTAGGTTGTTTGGTTTTTCAGCGGAGACCACGACTAAACAGAACAAGATACCCAAAAGTACAGTGTAGTTTTGAACTGAAGGAACAAGCCCCTGAAGTTCCTTTCTGATTCTCTACAGACAGTGATGGGATCCAGAGATGGATTACTGGAGAAGCACATTGGTTTGGATTAGTTGTGAGGACTTTTGTTAAATTCTGAGTAAGTTCTGGAAAGATGCAGTCAAGCTTTATTAAAGAAAAAAGCCACAAGTGTTCAGTAAGCCAGATGGGAGATGTAGGCTAAAGTCCTAATTATAATGAAATCCTTGGGAATTATACTTATTTTCAATGGGGCAGGGCTTTCATCTTTTCCCTATAAAGTTGGTATGTGTTATTGAATATAGTTATTAAAAAACAAAAGAAAACGTGAATCTCGAAGCATGGTTTCATTATGAAGAGATTAGGAAAATTTTGTTAATCAAAGCTATACTTTAAATAAGTAGTAAATTCTGTTCCTGTAAAATATTTAGGAGTGTAATGTAATGCCATAGACTTAGGTCATCACTGTGGCTTAATAGTGATGAAAACTGCTTGTCTGGGAAATTCAGTCACTGTCACCTCTCTTATCAGTGCCTCAGGGTGCTTGCTGATCTTGGTTTAACAGTTTCATAGTGACTGTACATCACTGCTGTTCGATTAATGTAACATTGCTAATCTGAACCTGTGGTTGAGAGAAACTTGACATTCTGGCGTAATGTAAGCAGCCTGTCTTGACATGAGGGTATTTTAGTAATAATTTAGGGTGTGTTCTTACACTTGTGCTTTTTCTTATAACCAAAGTCATAGTGTGTGAGATTTTTACTTTTTTTTTTAAGCTTTGCTTTACAGTCTTGGACCCATACAAATAGAGGCAGAAGCATAAAGCAGCCTAGAGAGCCGTACAGCTCCTTTATCGCTGGCTCTGCGCGCTGTCTGCTACCTGCGACACCCGGCAGTTCGGAGGTGTCAAAATCTGCTGCCCCGGCAGCAGTGACCTTTCGCAGGCTGTGTGAGCTCCTCTCATTCTAGTGTGTTCTCTTCATTAACTTAAATGGTCTCAGTGGGAAGCTGGGCCCAATTTATGACCTAGACTGAAAATCTTGCCTTTAACTAATTAACTTGTAGTGGTGCCTCAGCTAAATTAAGCTTAATGGGTCATTTAATCTGTCCCATTGCGCAGGAGGAATTTAACACTTTTTTTTAAAGCAGAGGTGCCCAAAATACTGTTTTGGCAAGTACTCATAAATCATATGGCCTTTGTGGACAATTAGATGCCTACGGAGAGAAACAAGGTTCTAAATAAATGATCGTTATGTACTTACCTTTGGGAGCAGATAATTTAATTTGGTATGATTAAAACTGGTGCTTAACAGAAGTCACAGGAGTGAATTTAATGCCATCATAGCCTGTGGCTGAGGCAGTGTGCATTTTTTTGCTGGAGAGGAGCTTATTCTTTCTTGTAGAAAAAAAAAAAAAAGGTTCTTCTCCAAAAACTACAGTGCTAAATTCAAATATTGAAGTTTACAGAAAATCTACTAATGAATCCATTACATAAAACCTTGTATAGTGATGTCCTTATAAAAGAAGTTGATAGTAGGCAGTGGGATTTTCAAGAAAATGCAGAACCACCAGATAGAAGGGGTGAAAACCCAGGATTTAAAGTTTAGCCACATGGTTTATTTTTAGAATAGTACAAATACTGAAAATTAAACCCCTGATTTAGGTTATAAAAATTTACATAAGAAGAAATAATGTCTGCTCTTTCCAATTTCTAATGTTAGTGTGCGGAGGGGTTTTTTTATTACGATTGAAAGGAAAAAGTGATCAAGATGGCATGAACACTCAAGCCTTAAATTAACTGATCTTTAAACTTTGTGGGTTGATAATACTTTGTCTTCAGGGTGTGTAAACTGTCCCTTTAATGTTCTAGAGTTTATCAGGAATTACTGTCTTGCACTGTGTCATTTTAATGTAGTTCTATCTGGAAATGCTGGTTTTTATCAGATGCTCATCTTTTCTCTGCCAAAGAAAAAGACCAAATGAGGTAGATTTGGACCTATTTTAATTCTCAAAGTTGGGGGTTTTTAAAATAGTTTTAATTTTTTTTGGCTTTTTCATGTTTGTTTTTCAACGTAAAGCCAAAAATTTTGTAAATTTTTTAGTACAACCAATTTCTTGAACTTCTGCAGAGATAGGACTTTTTGAGGCCATCCTTGCATTGTGGTTTGTTCTTTTTTTACAATTGTTATCTTCTATTTTGAAAGCCAGTTTCTATAGTTGGAGTGGGAGGGATAGCAGGTTTCTGCTGTCAATCATTTTGCAATGATTTATATTTCAGATGAATCTAGTGACATAAAATTTTTGTAACACAGGGCCTAATCCAACCTTCTGTCTTTAGTTTCATGTCTGTTTTTTGGTAACAGTATGGAAACTTCAGAATTGATTAATTCATCTGGTTCATATTTCATAGGTATTTCATTCTGACAAAATAGGCTGTATCGTAATATCTTCTATCAAATTTGCATTTTTATATTTAATCAGGTTTTCAGGGAAGGGAAATGTGAAAGTTGAATACATTCAGCATTTCTGGAATCGGGCCATGAAATATAGCATTTGCTGCAATTGACTGCCTGAATCACGGATATGGAATAAAAATGGCTAAAACTTAGACAAAGGTTATTATTATAAGCTCTTAAGGTTTGTCCTTTTTTTCCCTTCGTTATTGCTGAATATTGCTATAATCAAAAAACGAATTACATTATGATAGGTTCAATGGCCATAATGTTTGTTCATTTCTGCTAAAACTATTACATGATTTCCAGGGATGATTGTAAAATTAACAAGTTTTTACTTGGAAGCCCTGTGAGACCTAATGGCACTGTGCCAAATTACTTTTCGTTTCAAATATAAGGCTGAAAACTGAAGGTCACTGAGGAAATTTCTCATTTCAGAAACCAAGACGCCAGAGCTATCATTCAGATATTTAAACATTAAAATACAAATCCTTATTCTAAATTAGCTAAGATATAATATGCCCTTCCTTACATGATAATGCATAATTTCCACCCAAATATCAAAATAATGTGAGTTTCACAGAAGTAAAATTCCCATATATCAAATTCATTTAAAAAAAATTAAAATCCTCTTATTTAAAGTAGAACTTAATTTTACAGTGAAAATTATCTTAAACTGGCATTAGCCTGCAGGTACTTGAAATTTGACTAAAACTTAGTAATGATCACCAACATGCCACTTCTCTGGAATATGTGAAGCTCTCAACTCTTTTTAAAGGTACTGTTGTATGTATCAAAAATTAAAAGTTTTTGAAGTAAGAGGTGTGATATTTTGGCAAAGAGGCTCTGGAAACCAGAGGCTACTTGTATTTAATTTTCCCTTCTTCTGCGTGCTCTCAGCCTATTTCCAGAACTCCCTGCTGCTGTGAAACTCTGACTCGGTCTGTTTGGTGAAGAGTTCTGCCCTTCCTCGCGCTACTTTACCCTTGCACAGCTTCTTGTCCATGTAGCCGGGTTTTGGTGAGGGTGTGTGGGTTGGGAGCCTGCTGAAGGGCCTCAAGGACACAGAGGCGTATGATACATTGTTTGACAGTGGGCATCTAGGTTGTCTTGCCTGTTAGTTTTTTTTTTTTTAATATCTTTAAATGAATTACTGCTTAAACGATTCTCAACTGTGGGGTTTTTTTACGGATATTTACTTTATTCCCTAATGAATCATGTGCTTCCTTACCTTTTGCCATTTGGCAAATTTTAATCTATCCACAGAGCCCGTAATAAATATTGGTTTTCCATGCAGCAGCTGGAATACCCTCCCTGCTCCCATTTCCCAGCCTTCTACTTGTATGCATGATCACAGGGAATTTTAACATTATGAGGCCGCTGACCTCTGAGAGATGTGGACCTGAGTATCTGTCTTACCTTATTTATCCCAAGAATAATTAGGACACCTCAGAAACTAGCATTTAGCATAAGTAACTATGTAGTTCTTCAATATCTGAAAACTGGCAGTTCAGTCAGTCAAATCCTGTTTGACTTTGTAGAAGACATTAATTGTTTCAAATGATGTTTGTCACACGTTTCTTCCTGTCGGGGTAAAAGTACGTCGCAGAAGACATTTTCATTCCAGGAAGCATTTTGTTTGTCATTTCTATAAAAAGTTTATCATGCTATCATCATTTCTGTAATAGTATGGGTTAAAGTCAGTCCTCTGTATAACTGACTTGGGAACATACCCATTAATTTTTAGAGGAGCATAAAATATTTTGGCATATGTATATAGGTAGCATATGTACATGTGTACATGTTAGCATATGTATATAGGTAGCTGCCCTGGCAGACGTTGCTCATTGGAGTTGTATTTATAGCTGTCATGCAGAATATACCAATAAATTTGTATATAATTTTAAGTCAATAGTTGCTTCTAGCACATATGAAGTTCAAGGCATTTTAATCTACTTTTTTTCAAAAATGGTTACATTTATCAATGTCGGAACACAGAAGTGACTTGTTAACTGGTCGGTGTGATTTTTCTAGATTAGAATTGAAAAAAAAACCTAGTTAAATAACTGTATGCTATTTTTATTAGTGTATATTTGATTCTGTGGAATACTGCAAACTTGCATTTATATTGTGTATTTTGTTGCCGAGTTAATGAAAACTGTGTATTTTAGGTATAATGATTTATAAGCTTTTGGGACTTTCACCAGATTTTGTTAGAATAAGCACCTCTTATCTTGAAAAAATAAATGGTTGAGAAATGCTTGACAGAAAAGTTCTGTAAAAAGCATTGTGTTTTGTGAATACAGTGTTTTGGGAGACACAATTTATTTGAACTTCCTCTTGCAGGCTTCTTTATAGTTTAGCCTTTAATGCCAGATTCCTGAGGCATCTTTGGTATTTGATATCTTCAATGACTACACGAATGATTACAGGGTATGTACGATACCATTTCTGAAACCGAGCCTTTGTTAAAATAGAGCATATCTAGCAAAAAGAGAAGGAGACAATTAGTGGTATAACAGCACTCATGGAAGATGGTTAAACCCCAAACTGTAATGGTTATTTAGCTCCTAGGATTTCGTAAAACTGATCCAAATCTTGGAAATTGGACAATTGTAAATAATTACAGGCAAATAAATAAAATCTTTATTTAAAATAAGAGGGATATTCTGTAGTTTTTGTAGTGCTTGCTAGCATCACTGTAACAAATGCTGCAGCCCCAAGTACTTAATTCCAAGTATGCGAGTTGTATCTTGTATACTTTGATTAGCCCAGACATTGATGGTGGCAGAAACGTGTTCCCAGGAATGGAGGCACTGGACCTACCTGTTCTGTGCTGACATGCAGTTTAGTTACTGTCTGGGCTTTGTGTCTCAGTTCTAAACCAGAAAGTATCCTGTAATAGTTAATGCCAAACTACATATAGACTGAGATGTCATAGTGACAAGAACTTACAAAGAGTACTCTTATTTTGCAAGAATGGGGGATAGTAGTTATTTAATTGAGTGCTGCCATTATTTTGCTGCAGGAACTGCTGCTAAGTAGTTTTAGTAGAATACTGAAGTTAATACTTTAGAGTATTTAATTAACCATGTCTTTAATTTTGCATTTTATATTTTAAGGTCTATGGTGCCACTCCTTCAAGTGATTTCAAGAGGCTCTCCAATGTCTTTAGAAGACTCCAGTCGAATTATCCCTCTCTTCTACCTTTTTAGTTCTTTGTTTAGTCATTCACTTATTTCTATTCATGATAATGAGTTCTTTGGTGACCCAATAGAAGGTGAGTTTCAAGCATACTAGTAGCAGTGCTTTGCAAATATATTTTTGGGAAAGGTTACAGAGATCCCTGGGCAGGATTTGCTGCCATCTGTGGGGAAGGCTCTTCCTGGCTGGCTTGCTGCTAGTCCCTTGAGCACTTGGCTGTCAGCTGGCTCTTTCATGGTGATTGCATTTAGAAAAAAAGAGAAAAAAATTATGGTCTGAACCTTGGGAACCCTAGCCTTACAGGGTCTGTTAATCATGATAGTTTTTAATGAGTTAGTGAAGAGAGTGAAGTTCTTCTGAGATGAACATGCAATCTAATGTAGAAATTTAATATAGCAGGAATCACAAAAGAGAATAAGAGAATATTGTAATTAAAACTATTGTGACTGCAAACTATTACGAGCCTTTATAAATATATGCTCTATCTCTTTTGGGGTGTTATTTCTTTTCTCTACCTTTAAATTTTTGTGTGTGAATATTAAAATTGCAATGACATAGCAAAATGATGAAGTCATTTAAGGAAAATTAAACTTGTGTTTTATGTAGTTGTAGGTCAAAGACAATCATCAATGATGCCTTTTACACTAGAAGAACTTGTAATATTATCACGCTGCCTTCGAGACGCATGTTTAGGAATCATAAAGTTGGCTTACCCAGAAACAAAACCAGAAGTTCGTGAGGAATATATTGCAGCGTTTAGAAGTGTTGGAGTAACAAAAAACACAGAAATGCAGCAATGTATACAGACAGAGCAAAAGAGATGGATTCAGTTATTCAAGGTAAATTGTGTCCATTTTCAGAACCTATTTAAATTGATTTTTCACACTTCTGCTGAAGATATGGGATTAGTGGTTTTTGTTTTCCCCTTTACTTTTAAGACAACTGTTGCAAGGAACATGGATTTGAGGAGGTTGGTTTTTGATGTATGTACTAAACTGAGTAATAAAATTCTGGTAACTTAGAACTGTTTTTGCTTCTGGCAACTCTTTTTTTCTTTTTTTTTTTCTTATCCTGTTTATAAAGAAGCTACCGTATAGAATTTAGGATTTAACTTGAACTCCCATTGAGCAAGGTACTTAAGCGTGTCGTTAGCACTCTATGTAGGTGTAAAATTCCGTCCCCCTCTAATATTTTTGTATTAGAGGCTTCACTGAACTGGTATTGTGCTGTGGGTGTTCTACAAAATTCGTTGGTGCTACTCATTTTGAGTTTGCTGGAATAGTGATGGGGTGGCGAATCTGAGTTAGCAAATGTAAACTGGATGTATGTTCTTTCTGGATATCTAGCAATGTATTTCTGCTAGTTTTATCCGTGACATCCTACTGAAGACATGAGTTAAGAGAAGCTGAAAACGTTGGCAGGAAAAAACCTAATATAACTGTTGCCGAAGAAAAGGAGTGCTTGACTTGTCATGAAAATTCTGCAGCAAACACATCTAGTCAGCTAAAATCGCTCATTAAAGAAGTGGGAGCAGAAGAAATGCATTTTCCAAATTGAATGCTAGATTTACAGTCTGTTTAATACTGGCGACCTCTCGCACACTAATGTTCAGTTGGAGTCATCAGCTGTCCCTTCGGGTCTTTTTATCACTGCTTTTGTCAAGCTATCTATTTAATTGAAAGAAGTTAATTGAATGAAAATGATCAACTAAGCTTGTATTAATATTGCTAATGGAACTTTCTTCTTGGCCATGTTTGGAGAAAGATGTCATGCTAGACTTTAGGAAAGGCCCATTAAGGCTTGCACTTAACCTGATGGGCTAATTAAGGAATGCTTATTCATTCTACAAGTCTAAGATAGCCTCTATCCAGCCTATTCTGCCTGATTTTACAACACATTTCACTTATGAGCATAAGCATTAATAGCGGTGAGAGTAACTGATAATGTTTTGATTGCATTGAATACAGTCCTAATGCACCACTGAATTTGTAATTTGCACACTTTGATCCAATATATGTTTGCACAATTTAATTTAATCACTTGTCTTTAAATTGCCAAATAAACTTTTCATGTAAAGGTCACAAGTGAAAACACCAATATGTCTTATTTTTCTAAGTAGGATGGCATGCTAGGGGTATTTTTATATGTGCAGCTTATATCATGGCATCTTCTATGTCTTCTCTTTAGTTTGTCATATTTAATCAATCTTCTTATAAGCTGCGTACATTTCAGATGAATTTGATCGCATTTTGCTGTCATTCAGAAAGTTGTAAAATCTCAAGTTACTCTGCTATACTTGGGTGGTCAAGAATTAAACTCTTGGTGGAAACTATCTGAATTCGGTGTACTTCTATTTTCAGGACTGAGGTTGTCAGCCATTAGCTGGATTACAAATGTAAATCTTGAGGGTTCATCTCGAAGGTTTGGGTTCTACCCAAAAAAAGAGCTGATAACAAGGCTTCCGTTGTTTATTCCTTCAGAAACATATTGCTACAAATAAAAATTCAGCACAGCTAAAGTTCATCTCATCAAGGATACTACTGTAGACAGCAAGGAGTCTTTCCTGAGGGCAGCTTCAAAATAGCTTCTTGCCAGTAAGCAGGCAGCAGTATCTTCTTCCAGATCGTTAAAACACAGCTAAAGTAGTTCATCATAAATTTAAGCAGAAAATACTTTTCTGTCTTTTACTCTATATTGAATTTATGAGAGATTTATCTTTGCTAAAGCTTTTGCAAGCTGCCTGCAGGGAAAAAGGCACATTCTTCCCGATCACCAATTCTTTTAATTTCTTTGCTCTTTTTTTTCCCCTTCTAATTTCTCACACATATTTTCTATGCTGCTTGTATCTGATGACATAGATCTGCATATATATGCACAAATACAGACTTTACTTCCACAAGGTAATAGTAAATCTGAAAATACTGAGACTGCTGACAATGATGTGTAGATTTGCTAATAGATTGGAGGTCCTTGGAGAGATTTATATGTGAAAACATCTTTATTCAGCAGAATCCCCCTTTTTTGGCTTGGTATAATGTTGAACAGTGTAGCCAGGTGTTGCCATAGAAGAACTTAAGTTATGAGTGCATGAAAATGGATTTTGTCAAATAAAAGAATTATTCCACTACCTGGAGTTAATCCTATGAAATTAAGTCGCTATTTTACTGAATTTTAGTTTTGAATGTTACTTGCACTTGGCAAGTTCTTGGAAAGAAATGCCCATTGTAATATTATTTATTGAAGTGAGTATTTCCTTGTAAAAAATTTTACAAAGGATTCCTGAGTTTTGATTGCTGGTATTCTTAGTACCCATTTATTATGTAAAAGGAACTTCAGTCTTGCCTAATTTGATTCAGCTTCTTTTAAAGATTCTTTAACTGCTTGTAAAATATTTTATTAGCATGGACTTCATGTGGATAATTTTTTTCTGATTTTTTCCCCTCTTTTTTTTTTTTTTTCTTTAATATTTCTCTTAACATATAGTGATAATGGGTGCACAGAGCTGCAGTGACTTATCTAACCTGCACGGAATTTTATAAGGGCAAGGTGATGAAAATTCCTGTGTAATCAGACAGTTCCATTAATAGCATTCTTTGTACAGTCTTTATTTAAGACCTTACTTTACAAACTGGATCTTAAAAGGTCTTTTGTGTAGTATCTAGACACAGAATCCTTTAGAAGGCCCATTAAACTCTTTGTTACTCTTGACACTTGCCCATTAAGACCGTCTTTTAGCAAGATTGCTTCAGAAGAGCTTTGTGTACGTTTTTTCCTATTAATTTTTCAAGTGCTGTAGTTGTAACTTGCAAAACAGATGGCTGTTCGTTGTAGCACTGATAATGTCTTTTGAGGCTGGTGATTTGTATCCTCTTGATTCCACTTGATTATGTTATATGTAGTGTTGAGCTTATTTGGTTCTGCTTTGGAGGGAAAGCGTGCAACCAAGTATCACAATTGTGCTTGAGATGGAGTGGATGGTAGTGGATGGATTTTACTTTCTAAATCTGGTGTGTTGGATCCTTTAACAATCTTGTGATAGGACTTACCTATCTGAGCTATTCACAGTATAATCTGTTTTAGTAGACAAGAACTTTTGAGGGTAGAGTTCATTTGATAAATTGTTAGCTACTTCTGGATATGATATTTGTTTTTTGCTAGACAGCTTGGAAAACATTAAAAAAATATTCATTTACAAGAAAAGGAGCCTGTAGTATCTTTTCAGATGTAGATCTTTACTGTGAAAAATACTGGCATTTGTTTTTTTCACATGGATAGTCACTTCAGTTCCTGGTGAGGTGGTATCATAAGCAGATACTTATGATTCCTCTGAGGCCACTTTGGCTGGAAATGCTGTGATTTGTTAATGCAGCAGCCAGAAGTAGTCAGTCTTTTGTGTACTTTAGAGATGTAACTTTTGCTGTTATGTTTTGCTGCTAATTTTTCTGCCCTCTCCTCCATTTTCTGAAGTTGATGCCGGCCTTTGTACGATTTAGCTATTGGGAAGCACATCACACAATGCTCTGCTGCCTAGTTAGTGAACTTTATTGGCAGAAATACCCACTGTTCTGGAGCTGATCCCTCTGATTTGCCTGGAATGGAGTGGTATGGGTGACCTTTGTCTTTTGACAGCAAGCAGAAGTTCCTTTCTTCTGCGGAACATTTTTCTTGAAGAACAGTGAACAGAAATTTAAGAATCTTCCTCCTTCTAGACAAAGAAACCTATAAATGAGCCAGATGGTTCAGAATCTCAGTTTTGGTATGAGAGGTAGTGAAGAATATATATACCTAGAGAAGAGAGAGCTATATAGCTTTCTTCCAACATGTGCATCTGTTCACGTGTTTAATTTCTTCAAAGATATGCAAGAAAAAAAAAATCTACATAGAAGACTATTGTATAAATTACCTGTTTAGGTGTTACTTTCTTTAAAATGAGTAACTTAATGCTGATAATGTTTAGGCTTCCCCTTACTGACACATTATTTTTTAGGTGTGTATGGTGTAGTCCTAGTTCTTAAGTTTTTGGAATGAGACTTCAATAAATCAATTTTTTTTATGACTTAAAAGTAAACCATCATTACTTACTTATATTCTAAGATATTTAAGTACAAGAGCAAATTTTTGGAAGTGGAAAATAAATAACAATGTCATACATTACTGAAAGATTTTATTAGAGCTTTTTCCTGTGGATTATATAATTTCATTCACAGTGCTAAATATATACTGAAGGTGTGTACTTCTGACACCTAGGTCATCACAAACTTGGTGAAAATGTTGAAATCTAGAGATACAAGGAGGAATTTCTGCCCACCAAATCACTGGCTCTCAGAACAAGAAAACATTAAAGCGGATAAGGTAAGAGTAACATCCCTGCTCTATGTAGCCTTACAGGTGCCGAAGTTTCAATGGTAAGGTGTTTGATTCCTGATAGTATCAGTGAAGTTCATGTTGCATAGATTTAGCATGATTTAAAACTTGGACTAATGTTGCTTTTCTCTAATGTAGAATTCTTGGATCTGTTTAGAAACTTTTCTGTTAAATCACATTTCCAATCCACAAAGGAGAACTTGCTCTACAGTGCGACAGTGTTATAGCAGAGGAGAATTGAAAACTAGCTTTTTATTGAATTTTATTTTCTAGTTAATTTGAGTATTTGCAATGAAAATACTCAGTAAAATAATCGCTCTACAGTGGGGAAGAAGCCCTTAAAATTCTCCTCCAAAGTAGAATAAAATTCAGTAGCATTTTCTGTACTTACTTCACAAAAACTACCTATTTTTTAAGAGCTTTTGAAAAAATAATGGTATTGAGCTTAAAACTATGTTATGTGAATGCAGAAGAGAACACTAATATGAATGTGCAGATACATGTTTTGAATAATTGACAATATGGATCTTAAGAAGCAAGTTAAACCTCATCTAGACTTCCTTGCTCTGTTAGATGTCTTTACAGTTGGAAATTTGGCATGAAATCGTTAACAGTGAATTCTTGTTTATTTCTGATGGTTGCACATTTGCTTGCCCTATGTTCAAGATTTTTGTTTCTCTGTGTGACAGTTCTTTCTAATTCTTAGGAAATAGTGCCTACGCACCTTAGAGAAAGTAGTAGTAGTCTTAAACTGTGATGCTAAACTGATTCTCAATACAAAGTAAAGAGAATTTATTTGAAATCTTAGAATTCAAAACTCGGCTTCTCTAGCGTGTTAAATACCAGAATTTAATGTAACATTGCATGGCATTTTTAAAATAATACATGGACTGTATATTACTGTATATTACATTGTTGTTACTGTATATTATATGGTTGTTAATTTTGCGGTTTAACACAAAGGCTTGAGTATTAGGAGGAATGATTAGAAATGAAGACATTTAGGCATTCAGATTCTTGGACGTGACAATTTTATGTATTTACTATGTAATATTAAATTGTAGTGTGTGATTAGATAATGTTTAACTGTAAAATACTGTTAATTTATTAGGTTACACAGCTGTATGTGCCATCTGCTAGACATGTCTGGAGAGTCAGAAGAATGGGAAGAATAGGACCATTGCAGTCTACTTTGGATGGTGAGACATTGTCTATGCAATTTGTGCTTTACTAAGTCAAAATAACAGTTTGCCTTGTGCAGAGAAAATCCACTTTTTACAGAATTCAGCTGAATATTTTGCATAAAAGCCTTAATGATAGCCAAAAGCAAGGCAGACTTTCATAGTTTTGTTTCAGATATTTTAAAAATGTATATTTGTGTATACACGTGTGTGAATGTCTTCAGAATATTTAATATGTAACGGCACTCCCCAAGCTGCTGGCATGGATAAAGGGAAATGATGAGGTGGACAAACAATATGTGTTAAAGAAGTACTTATTAATATGTGTAAAAGGCAGTTGCATAAGATACAAAATAAATTTGCAGAAGATTTAAAGCACTGAGGTTTTACTTTTACTGTATACTGTAAAGAAACTATTATATGTTAAACTGTAACAAACAAGCTTTTGGTACCATAATAAGCATTAATGACTGTTTATAAATACTATCTCTAATTAGAAAAGGCAGAAACTTAACTCCTTGAATTTCTTATGGAATGTCCACAGAAAGACAAGAGAATTGGACCAACTTAGCAATGGGGGTAAATTCACACTGGTTTAGTTGTGCCGATACACCTTCTCATGCAGACAGTCTGCTTCTTTCAACTTCTCATACCTGTGTAGCTTCACTATTCTAGAACTTTACCTTGCTATACTCAAGTAAAATAATCACAAAATCTTCACGAGTGTTAGTAATTTAATAATATATTTAAAAATGGGGGCCTTTAAGCAGCAAAATAATTCATCTATCAGAGTCCGTACTCCCTTTCAAGATGATGTAATCTGCTCGAGTATCTTAGCCAGATGCAGTAGATTATTTAGCAAAGACCATGGCCTTTGAATGCTGCCATAAAGTTGTGCAGAATTAAGGGCTTTGTCCAAGGTTGAAACCTAAGACTTCTTAAACCAATATTGTTTTTTAATAGTTACTATGGTATAAGTAAATTAAAATTTTGAATCAAATTTTTTTTTCAGCTTAGTTTCTCTTTCTGGAAATTGTCCATTCTAAGTGATTGATAATACGAAATCTTAAAAGCAAGTGTTTTAGCAAAACTTTCCAGGCTTCATCCAGCATATATCCCGTATACATTATGGACTTTACATCAGTAATCCCCATTTCTTCCATTGACTTGTGTGACTCCTGACAGCTATACTGCCTTGATGTTCCCAAGTGTCAGACCCGTACCATATTTATTACTTCCAGATTCTCTCTCAGGCTACTAGTCTCCTTCGCCTCATATAGACAGTATCGTGAGCTCTCTCTTGTCTTTCCTCCCATAATAGCACCAGTTCCCTCTGGTTTGTTAGTTGTTTGGTCTGGGCAGCTGGTGGATCAGAGATTCACGTGCTGTGGTTTGTGTGGAGCAGCTACGTGCCCTCAGGTTGCCGACTGGCTGTCAGATCAGCTGACACACTGAACGGAGCAAATAGCTCTCTTTGCTGCTTCTGTAATCAGGTCGCTAAAGGAATTTCTCCTCTCTGTCCAGTAGAAAGTTTTCACAAACCTTACTGTTTTTTTGAATCTCCTGTTCTCTGTCAAAATTAAAATTAAACTTAGCTTGAAAGGTGTACTGGGCAGCAAGCTGGTGAAGAAACATGGCACAGCGTGTTCATGTAAACCTTGTTTTCGTGTGAAGTCAGCCTAAAAAAGTGCAGTCAACATGAATGTGTGAAAACAAGCAGGTAACAACGGGCACATGACTTGCTCTTGACTCCATATGGATTAAAGCCAATTAGCATGAAAGTAGTGCTGAATCACATATGGTCATGTTTATTTGTGCTTTTTCATTTACTTAAATGGCAGACTCGCGAGTTCTAAATGACCCCTGTATTGATGGCTCCCTCCCATATTTCTCTTTAAAGAAAGAAGCTGTTATGGAGAAATGCAGATAAAATTGACTAATTGACTGGAATAATTGAACTGTCAAAGTCGTGTAGTAGTTTACCTTTGCTGTACATGCACTTTTTATTTAAAATGCTTTTAACTGTTAGCTTAATAGGCTGCATACATTGACTTTAATTAAAAATGTTTACTAAGTAAACTAGGGGTAATCACAGATAAGCATTTTATCAGAAATTCCAAAGGCTTGCAATGTCAAAACCTTCCCCAAATGAATATAGAATCATAGAATGATTTGGGTTGGAAGGGACTTCAAAGATCATCTAGTTCCAACCCCCCTGCCATGGCAGGGACGTCTCCCACTAGATCAGGGCCTGGCCTTGAACACTTCCAGGGATGGAGCATCCACAGCCTCCCTGGGCAACCTGTTCCAAGTGCCTCACCACTGTCAAGATAAAGAACTTCTTTCTTATATCTAGTCTAAACCTAAGCTCTTCCAGCTTCCACCCATCACCCTTTGTCCTATCACTAAAGGCCTTTGTAAAAAGTTCCCCAGCCTTCGTGTAGGCCCCCTTCAGGTACTGCAAGGCCACTGTGTATATACATGAAGTATATATACGTGAAGTATAGTGATGTTTTAGGTCATGTCATGTTACGTTGGTGCTTGAAGTATCCCCACCTAAAATGCAAAGAATTCTGAATCCATGTCCAGTTGTGGAAGTGCAGCAAGTAGGAACCAGAAACTGTCATCATAAAGTTCCAGACAGGGTAGTAACACAAAATATTTACTTTAGTTTGGTAATATGGCCTATGAAGAGTCTAGACTCTGGAATATTTTTTTTTTTAATAAGGTAGTTATTAAACATGAAAATAAAACTCACAGCTCCTCAGTTGTTTCATTTCCTCGTTAGACTGAAGCTAGAACAATATAATTTTTTTTTTTGGCGTTAATTAATTTACATTCAGATGTGTGCTCAGCAACTGCGTTTCTTCCCATGTAGTTAGAGCAGCGTTGTCATTTCTACTGTGCATCTCCCAAAGTTGAGTTGTTTCCTAAAAACAACCTATGTGGTGGGTATAAGAAGATTCAAAGAAACTGCATGGTGGCTTGGGAGCTGCATGCGACTGAGTCACTCTGTAGCTGTGGCTTCTTGAGTTTTTCTAATATTTTTTTCTTGAGCACATTATACAATTTCTTTATATTCTTTTCACTCTTTCTGAAGTGACTAGGATTTGGTGTGATCACTGTGACCTTGCTGTTGGGAGAGACAACCTTTTGAAATAGATGTTGTCTTTGTATTGGTTTCGTTAGATTTGGTGTGGTATTTAGTTTTTCTGCCTAAAATGGTGTGATTGAAAGGAGATATTGTAGTTGAAAGCACAGTACCTTTATAAACTATTTTGATCATTGGGATGGGAATATTGTGTATTCCTGCAATGAAAATTCTAATTACTTACAGCTTCTTAATTGTAATTTATCATCTATTTTTTCTTAATTGAAAAATTAAAATCAAAGTAAGAAAATACTTTTTTTTTTTCTTCTGAATTAAATGAAAAATACAGGATTACTTATTTTTATACACGTTTTGTCTTCAGTGTGTTTTCACTTACTTATACTTCAGTTTGCCTGTAGCAAGGTAAGGCTTTGTGTGTAAATAAGCTATTTTAATGTATGTATTTTTATATAAGGTAAATTGAGTCGCTTGATACAAAATAGACTGTTTAAAAATGCAATTTCAAAATTTTTAAAAATTGTTATTTCTATTTCAGTGGGTTTGGAACCAGCACCGCTTTCTGTATCTGAAGAACGACAACTTGCAATTCTGACAGAGCTACCTTTTGTAGTTCCTTTTGAAGAAAGAGTAAAGGTACATAATTTCTAATTTAATGTGCAATTGGTTTCTTAGCTTTTTACTTTCACCGAGTGTGAAAAGAGCACTTAGCTAGGTAGAAGCAAGATTGTTTTCTTAAAGAACGATATGATGAGCTGTGCAGTTTTTCTTCAGCACCCGTATGGCAACTGAACATTTGAAGTTAATTACTTTTCTCTTACTAGTTCTCTTACCCTTTATAATAATTACATTAAAATTAAAACTACAGTCCTGATTCACTGATTGATCTACGGGACTGCACCCTCTTCTGGTAAGCAGAGCACTAACTAGTTGCGTATCTGTAATAAACAGATTGCAAGGTCAAGACTGGAGACTTGTGCAGTGGGTGGATTTACTCAGCAGGCGGTGATGGATGTCCATTTTGGGAAAGATAACACCTAGAGATTAAATTTCTGCATTCATAGCTGAGTAGCCGAGCTTTAATAGAGTAGATAGTTTAAAACTCGCAAGACTCTTGTTGTACTGTATTTACTTTTGAATGTTTTCTAGATTTGAAATGTGAAATTGTTAGTTCTGTTACCAATTTCAACTTGCCTCGTACAAATTGTTAAAGCTATTATTCTATTATGCACAATTTTTTTTTCTGAACTGCTTTTGTTGTCAACAGTATCAATTAGTTAAAAACCGCTCCCTGGATTGTCATTAAGCTGCAAGACACCATCAAGGGAAGGAAGAATAGTTCCACAGGGAAAATAAATCAGTATTGTCAAAAACGATAGTGACAGCCTTGGTAGAAGAGGAGTGTTTTTTCCAGGCTTCTACAGAACAGCTGTTCCAACAAAACCTCGTAATACGCTGTATGGCAGTATTGCATTAGGATTACAGGGAAACAGTTGGACGTGACCTCAAGCAGGGATCTCTGTGTCACAATTTAGTCACTGTCTACAGCCTCTGGACTCCTTAGAGCTCTGTTGAGATGCATATGTGGAATTCAGAAAACCTGGTTTGATTTTATCACAAAAAATGAAATAATAATTGGCTGAGAGCTTGGAGAGAAGGAACTTTTATAATTCAGAGAGGAGATCCTCATACACTGCTTTTTGGGCCAGGCACGGTTCTTTTTTTTGGTAATAGTGGGAGTCAGCACGCTTTTGTAGTCTCTCACTGCCCCTGGAAAACAGCTTACAATAAGGGAAGAAGATAACTTATCAAGGTTTTGTGGGGTTTTTGTTGTTGTTTTTTGTTTGTTTGTTTGTTTTTTGTTTCTTTTGACCAGTTGCCACATTCATAGAACAATAGAATGGTTTGGGTTGGAAGGGACCTTAATGAACATCTGGTTTCAACCCCCCCGCCATAGGCAGGGACACCTCCCACTCCACCAGGTTGCTCAAAGCCCCGTCCAGTTTCACAGTAGGCTCTGCAGCCTTCTGACCCTCACTGTGTTACCCTCTTTAGCCTTAAGGCACATTTTTGAGCATCTTTCAATCTGATATTTCCCTGTGGGAGGTAACGAATCCAATTTGTGTCAAGTGCCCTGGTTGTCACTTAGTTAAGCTGTATTGTTGTCAGCTTGCCTGTGGTGATGCTACTTTCCATGGTGTGTGTGTGCTTACCTTTTCATGCATTAGTCTGAAGTTGTAAGTGCTTCAGTTACGCGTTAAGGTTCTTATTTTCGGGACTATCATATGCACGAACATTGGATTATGTAGGAGGCCAGAGGCCATATCAAGAATTTTGCTGTGAGGTGCACCTCTAAGTGATTCTTGCCATCTGGTGTTGTGTAGCTGATAAACTGTATCCAGCCTGCTTGGGGAGAGAGGATGATGGTGAGCATGTTCTCATGCCCTGTCTGTGGCTGTGTGTTGTGATTCAGAATTGTAGAAGAATTTAGGTTAGGAGGGACCTCTGGAGGTATTCTACTTCACATCCTTCCTCATACAGGAATAGGGTGAGAGTTGGATCAGGATGCACAAGGACTTGTCCAGATGAGTTTTGACTATCTCTAAGGATGGAGATTTCACAAACTCTTTGAGTAACCTCTTCTGGTACTTAAATCACTCTCAATATGATTCTTCTTTCTTTATGTCCATTCAGCATTTATCTTTCCACAGCTTATGACTATTTTCATTTATCTTCCTCCTGTGTATTTCAGAGAAGAATCTGGTGTTGTCTCCACTGTAATCTTCCCGGCTGGAGAGCATCTTCTCCACTAGCCACAGTTGTCCATAAAAACAGTACATTTGAGATCTTACTCCAACTTTGTCTGCTGTTGTCAGATTTTCCACTCTATGGTAGATTTGTTGGTTTTAAACATCCCTGGAGACTCTTACTTAATCTTCTTTGTTAAGAAAGCATTCTGTGATACTACTGGGAGATCACATCCCTTGGAAAATGGATTGGTCTCTTTACTGAAAATGGGAAAGATGCAAGAGAGGACACAGTGAACAGACACTCTCTGGATTGAGGGTACAGTGAGCATTTTGGTACATTAGGCAGACCCCTCCCATGCTGCATGTTGGCATAGAAACACCGTGAGCTACAGTTACTCTTCAGGTGAACTGTAACAGGTTCCTGTTGTAAAGACTTGGAAAGAGACAAGTGAAGTTCAATTTGTGCTTCAGCTGGCATTATTTTTTTTGAATTTGTATGATGCCTTGGTTCATTGCTTAATATAGCATTGCTGTCCGCTGTTTTGCTTTGAATTATTTGTTCACTGCTCATGAGAACTGATACCTAATTTCTTGTTACTGGGAATGTTCCTAAGCATTACAAAAAGTGACAGAAAGTATTTACTAGTACTGAGGATAGTCTCTGTGTGTGCAGAACACTCACGTGACCTTGTCCCTTTACTTTTGAATACTTTGCATTTCAGAACTCTGAAAGTTAGGGAATGCAGACAAATCACTGACAGAATGTCTGTAAATGTGCTTCGCTATGTAGAAAGAACCGAGGATGTTATCTTAGCACAAACAAGTTTTTTGCATGTCTGTCTCCTCTTCTTGCCTCCCCTGGGACATGGCTCTGTATTATGTTTCTGCAGCTCAATGAGAGAGAAGACAAATCACTTGAAAGTGAGTGCCTAGAAGCAACTCCAAGGACAGTGAGAGTAGTGAATAACCATCTCTCCTTGAATATTTAGATCTGCATAATGACATGATTTCTCTTTTCACTCAATTTAACAGATTTTTCAAAGGCTGATTTATGCTGATAAACAAGAAGTTCAAGGAGATGGACCGTTTTTGGATGGAATTAATGTCACTATCAGAAGAAATTACATTTATGAAGATGCTTATGATAAACTTTCTCCTGAAAATGGTAGGATTAAAAATATGTTATCAGCTTGCTTATAACATTCTATGATTCTGTGACTTAACCGTTCTTACCATGTAGTTACATATTTGCTTACTTGAGTAGGATGCTAAATGTATATCAGTTCTGAGGTGTGAAATTTCTTATAAATTTTGGTTTTACATAAAGCCTTATCTACATTCTTTCCAATTATTGTAGTCTCATTCTCTTTAACACACCCTTCCTTAGTTGAAGCCTACTTCTATGGGGCTTTTCTTCCTATTTACTTGTCTAGATAACTGTATTTTGTTTATTTATCTGCTTTGGTAATCCATGTCAGGAAATCTCTCTAGACTGTGCAGGATTTGCTGGGTATGGTGTGGCTGATGATAATGCAGTGCACTTTGTAGTGAAGGTATGTAGTAGTATACATTTTACCACATTGATTTAAATCATACCTTAGTGTGAATTCATGTGAGAGCAGCCGCTCTAGAAGCCAAGATTCCAATGTAGGTAATGCCTGCCAAAATAAAGGTTTTGAATAATGCAGTGTCAAGTAACAGGCAATTCAACCTATTTGTTTAAGAGGAAGATAATGTTTAAATGAGAAGATAAAGTTTAAATGAGAAACATATTTTCTGTGAAGACTACAAAGTACGACAACAATTTTAGAATGCGTGTTTCCTAAACTGAATCTAGAGCCTGACAGTTTGGGCTGTGGGATGTGTTCCACCACTAGTGAGGTCGCAGGCAGTATGAAATGGGGGGGAGTAGTCATCAGGTGGCTGCTCAGATGGCCCCTGACAGACTGAAGGGCTTAGAGAAGCCTTACGAGAAGCTAAATCCTCTACCTGGGCTGTAATAACCAACACCCTGTGGCAGTACAGACTGAGCACTGACCAGCTGGAAGGCTGTTCTCAGTATAGGATCCCAAGGTTCCTGGTGGACAGCAAATTCACAGACTCACAGAATGTTAGGGGTTGGAAGGGACCTCAGACAAATAGAGTTCCCCTTGATGAGATGGAAGCTCACTGGGCTGCATACCGGGCTGTGTTAGCAAGGAGATAGCTCGCAGTTTCAGCACTGATGAACTGTGGCTGACTTTCGGCTTCCCAGTACAGAAGAAGACACTAAGGTCCAAGAACGTGTCCTGGACAAGGCCACCACAGAGATAGAGGGAACTGAGGGACGTGGCATATGAGAAGAAGCTGTAACTTCACTGCAACCAGGAGGTTACAGAAGCCAGTTTGATAAGATGCAGTGGTGATGTGTAGGAGCAAGGGAAATTTTTACTGGACATTTCACAGTGAGACTTGCTAAGCACTGAAATGGGCTGTCCAGAGGGGCTGTGAAATCTACTGTCATTGGAGAATGTAACTAGACACAGGCACTGAACAGCCTGACCTATCTTGGAAATTGGCCTTGCTTTCAGTGGGGGAATTTGAATTGTGGGTGGTCTCCTCTGACCTGAGCTGTTCTGTGATTCTGTCAAGCCTTCTGTTCAACAAAAGTGTTTGTATATTAATATAAAATTTATCTGCATATACATGTATATAATTCCAGATCATGTTTTCAGCCTTTCCTTAGGAAGAAAATTACTCATAAAACAGTAACAAGGGAGAACCCACTAAGTTTGTGGTGAGGGATTTGGATCTCTAGCTGGAGATTTCTGTCTTGTTTACAGAGAAGCCCATGGGGGTGGTTGGCCACTGAAGGCTGAAAATCTGATTTTCTGCGTGTGTGGGTGACACACTGTGTATGCACACACGTGCACACACAGACATATATGTACAGTGCTATTTAGTATTGTACTAGTGCCACCACGAGTGCTATTTAGAATCAGTAAAGACGAAATTAGGTTAGACTTTTTTTTTTTTAAAAAAAAGAAGCTAGTGTTCTGAGACAATACAGTTTTAAAAAATAATACTAGGTCTGGAGTAGGTCAGGCACTATGTGGGAGAACAGAAGAAGTTCCTGAAAGTTGCAGGAGACACAATTTCAAGACTAGACTGAATTGATTATAATCAGTCTGGGAGATTGAACGAGTGATTGAGGAGCTCCTAGAATTGATCAGGAGAGAGCAGAGAACATTGATTTGGAAAAGGGAACCAGTTTGTCTACTGGCCTTTGGAAGATAGTTGTTCAAAGTTAATGTTCCCATAATACCTTAACAGATATAATTAAGAAAACAAGCTTGGAAACATACTAGGCTGGTTCTTGTATTTTTACGTGGTTGTCATGTTTAATAATACGCAAGCGTTTCTCTGTGGTTCTTTTGTTTTCTTTTATTTTTTCCCCTGTGACTAGAGTTTTCAGCATATTCCATAATACCCTCCAATGGACTCCAGTAACAATTTAGTTACATTCAAACTGTAAAAGTTATAAAATTGAACTCCTCTTTTCAGAGGTTGCACTGACCGGGCTCCACCTCTGCCTGGTCACCTGTTGTGACATTGTACTAAGACCATTTTTCCCTGCTTGCTATAAATCTGGTTGTCAGTACATAAGAAGACACAAAGAACTGCTTTTCTTCATAAGATCTCCAAAGCCACTAAACCAACATTTTCCATATATAAAAGCTTTAACATTAATGCTCAATGTCTCGGGAGTCTCCAGGCAGAGTTGTGTTTGTTGAACTTTGCATTCACAATATGTTTTATATAAGTAGAATTTTCAAATTATTCTTGGGCTTCTTTAACATATTTTTTAGGATTTTCTTTCTTACCCTGCCTAGTGTCTTTCCACTTCACCTTTTGGTGAATCTTAAAGCAAGACCCTTTGTACTAAGTGAGTTTCACATACTGAATATTCCATATGCAAGCCAACAATAGGTTTTGCTCTTTTTTTAATATAAGGTTTGTGTAGATAGGTTTGTATGTGTAATTTTATGTGTTTTTATTCAAACAAAATTCAAGCAGGTAGTTGTATTTGAGTTTGCCTTTCTCTTCTCTCTGCAGAACCTGACCTAAAAAAACGCATTCGTGTTCACTTACTTAATGCACATGGTCTTGATGAAGCTGGTATTGATGGTGGTGGAATTTTCAGAGAATTTCTGAATGAACTACTTAAATCAGGATTTAACCCTAACCAGGGATTTTTTAAGACCACCAATGAGGGACTTCTTTACCCGAACCCTGCTGCACAGATGCTTGTAGGAGATTCTTATGCCCGACATTACTACTTCCTTGGAAGAATGCTTGGAAAGGTAAAAAGTGTTGTATAATATAAAGCTACTGCAGTACTGAAATTATTCAGGTTTTTTTTTTTTTTCTTTTTAAATGGGAGTGGATGGGGAAAAATGAAGAATTTTCTAGACTCGAGGAAGAATAACATTCGGATGTTGGATCCTGAATGTTATTTACACATATTAACCAAATTTCTGGCTCATTTTAACAAGTTTAATTTTAATAAGTTACATGATAGAGGAGTACAGAGAATTTAAGATACTCTGACTGCCATTTGAGCAAAGTGTGCATATGTCTGCGTCTGTGTTTATTCTCCTGCTTAAGGTTGAGTTGAGTGAAGCCACTCTGCTTACGGTGATTTTTAACCTGGAGCTTCCTGGAATTCGACTGTAGTTACATTTTCATCATTTGGAATATATGAAATTAGTATTTTCAGAAACAAACAGTTTGTAGTTGTATGAGGTGTACAATTCTTGCTAGCGTTTAAAATTTGCCATCAGCATTTACCAGACTCAAGAGCCGTGTGCAAATCAACTTTCACTTATTCCAGTTGCTTTTTCGTATGTTTTGCATCTTGGTTGAGTTTTAGTGTTTGATATTTCGATATTGTGAATGTTTAGAGACTTAATACACACTTGTTGAGCTAAATGAAAAATGGAGGAGGCATAAAAAGAAAAGTGAGAAACCATTACAGGCATCCATTACATGCAGTTCTCTTTTATGGGCAGGTTTAGTACTGAGGCTATTTCCTTCTAAGCCTTTGAAATAATTTTTGTAAAGTTAATAATTATGAAACAAAGCTTGGAATAAATTTGTTGATTGCTACCTAGTTATCTGAAACTGGAGGCATTTAACATGTAGAAGTCCCATTTAACTGCCTGAATTACTTTGGAGGCTGACATCCTGCTGACTTGCAGTGAGATTTAACATATGTTAAATCCTTTTAGTGCACGTGGAAGTGGTTTAAGAGGATGTTGTTGGCAAACTTGAGTTGTTGAAACAAAGTGCTGTGCTTTAGAGTTGCCAGTCAGCTGATGTAGATTAAAATCCCACTTTGAAGGCAAATTCTCTGTTAATGCACCTTAGCTATTGCAATATCCACACTTCTTAGATAATGAAAATTTCACATGAGCCATTTCAGTAAAATAATCTTTCAAGTATATTCCTGCTTTTAATGGGAGATGGATTCGGTCTAATGCAGTGGTTTGTAATTATGACCTATGTCACACATCCGAGGCTTCATTTTCTTTCTGCTTCTATAGATGTTTGGAGCAGGGAGGTGAATGCTGTTGTGTTATCATCAGGAAGTTACTTTGCTCCAAAATTATTTAGTATTTCTTTAGGAATAAGGCAGGGCTCAGTTGTCAAGGGGAAGTTTGAAGCATTATTTTTTTCAAAAAATGTATAGTTTTCAATCTTCAGTAATTTTTTCTGTCAGAACAACATGTTGCCCTCCGTAATTGAATTTCAAATATTAGCATAAAGGTGGAAGTTGCAAAATGATTCTTATCTCCCAGAAAGTGCTACAAGTACAGTTTTGGTTTTGTCTTTTTAAAAACAGAGGATCTATTATTGAACATTTTGAAAGCATAAATTGTTTTTGTATTTGCAGTATGTTTACATAAGGTAAGTATTGACAGTGTTACTTAATAATTACCCCTACCCAGGTGTGCAGACACCTTTCCAGTAGTGTATTTAGAGACCTGATGAATTAAACAGAAAGATAAGGCACGACCATGCTATTCAAAACCTGCCAGTATTGTGATCTTGGTTCAGTTACTGAGTACTCACTCACCCGTTTTCAAAAATGTGTCCATTTTATGCTTTGCACAGGGTTGTTTGAGAGCAATAGTGGATTATTAAAAGCCCCTTTGTAAACAAAACAGATATAATGCGAAGGAAGCAATCAGGCATCCGCAGCAATTTCTTATTTGTGGAAACCAGTATGTAAAGAGCACTGCCACCAAAAACTCTCATGCAAGAAGTTTCAATGTTATCAGAAAACAAATACATTAAAATATAATAATTTATAGAAACTCTCTGTCTCTTGGTAACCATTTCATACTAATATCCAAATGCATTCTACTTTCAGTACGTAGTTCAGGTGTTCTTCTCACTGGAAAGTTTCTAGGAGCTTGATGTCCTCTGTGTTAATTGGTCAGTACAGAAGTAGAAACATCTGAAAATTTAAAACTTACCTTTAAAAACTTAAATTATTTTAACCCTAGCTAAATTTTTATTTGGGGTGTATTTTTGTGAAGAAATGGAAATCTGTCTTCATGGCTGTCCATGCAACTTCTCCTGATCTCTGAATGAGCAAAAGGTCTTGTAGAAATAATACCCTGTGACCATGCATATGCTGTCTGAAATAATTCTTGGGGGTGGGGGAAGAAAGGCAGAAATGACTTTGCTTAAACAACAGCTACTCAAACACTTCCAAAGTTTACATTTCTCAACTTTTAGTGACTTGACTCTGCAATGTAAATATTATTTTAACATTGGTGCCTTTTAAGCATTTTCCTTTCGCTTCCTTAAAAGTGAAAACTCAGCTGACCATGCACACACTCCTCAGGTACCAGCCTCCCACCTCCCGCCAGGTTTGAAACTTGAACCCTTCAGTTTGGCCCTGGGGAAGCCCAGCGGTGACTTTGAGACCTCACCTTTGTTTGAGAGCTGAGGGTGTCCTGGGCTATCGAGGATGTTCAGAGCGAGGCATTCTAGCCCCAGATTCTCTTCATCATCATGTCTGGAAAGAAAAGTCGTCATGTCCCATGTGGTGTCCCACGAGTATGGATGGGACCTTGTAATCCTTTTGCTCTCTTGGTAGGTAGGATTGAGCCGTAGGGGAGGCACTTGGTTTGGTTTAACTCCCTTTCCACTTGCAGTACTTTTTCTGGCAGCACTAAACATCTTTCAGAATGAAGGCTTTCCTGCTGCCGCTTTGGCAGTGTTGTTGGCTCGGCGCGGGAGAGCGCAGAAGTTGCTGTTTTGACATGCTGCCAAAACTTCAAGCAACTTAGCCAGAGAAGGGAAGTTTGAAAGCAACACCTGAGAATCTTAAATGAGGATTTTCTCTCTGCTGATTCTTGAATGATCTGCTGCAGACCTGGAAAGAGGGAAACAGTGGTTAACCATTTCAGCAGTATCAGTTACAGATTCAGAGTTAAAATTTGACCTTCACCATGTCCAGACCTCAACTCAGTCTTCCATATACCATATTTTCTTTCTTCAGTTTCCCCGTTACATTTGGATTTATTCAGTGATGTTAATGTGATAGATATTGTAGAAAAGGACATTCTTTGCATTTGGAATTATTTGACATCAAGCAGATAATTCTTATACTTAATTTTCATGAAGTGCCGGCATTAGTTTAAGAATATGGCAGGAAGCCCACGGGAAAATTGGAATGAGAATTTTTATGGTTTCCTCTTCTTCCTTTTTGACATAAACCTGCTAATTTGTGGGTGTATTATGTTTTGCAGTGATTTTGCAGACATTTGTCTATCTTTGCACCTTTACCAAATCGTTTCTTTCTGACACCGGAGATGTTTTATTAAACAAAAATCTTTGTTTATATTGAATTCTACCATCTCCATTTCTCTTCCATTATTCCAGCATATTGAAGAGCACTAGTGAGTCAGGCATTTTTATTGCTGAAGAACATACGCACTGTCTCTGAAATAGAATATTGTCTTTTTTTCTATGCAATAAAATCTGCAGTCCCTAGAAGACACTGGAACTTCCTAAAAAGATTTAGATTTGTTTTGCCAAGACTTATTTTTTGTCTTTTGGTTGGGAAGGCAGTATAAAAACCAAAATGTGTTTTGAATTATTGTTTTGAACCGAGTCCTTTCCTTTGTGGATCCAATAAAGAACTTTAGAAGAAGGAACAAGGACTGAGCAAAATTATTGTGTAATAATTATTATTGGGTAATAGTTGATCAGATACTAATCTTATTACCCTAACAGTAAGTGTGCAACCATTCATTATTGATGAGATTTTTTTTCTATATCTTAGTGTGCCTTGTGGTTGCTGTTTGTAGCTTTCAGTAGAGCTGTGGTAGATGGTTTGTTGTCTGACATATTATTATTTCTTTCTGGAAGGTACGGGTGTGAGAACTGTGGTGTCTACAGTATCCGTTTTGCCAGAAGACTAAAGTAGTTCTTAATCATGCTTGGCCTGTACCTAAAATCAGTGAAGGTTGAATCAGTGGGAGACTTTTCATAGCAAGATCTGAATCAGATCCTAAACTCCTAAATTGTTAATAAGCTGCACATATGGAGTTAAAACCTTCCAAAACCTGTTTCTAGTAACGCATTTATGTGCCCGTTTTGTGCCAAAAGCTTGTAGAGAGAAAACGGAAGAAAGAAAACTCTATAATGAGAAGAACCAGGTTTCATATACTTCAGTATTTGGTACAGCGGTGCATCCAGGCATTGTGCTTCTACGCTTCCTCTGTTTTGCTGACTGCTGAAGGGTGTTTTCTTTTTTTCTTCTTCTGATTTTTGAGGCTACCCTTTCCTTTTGATTTTTGAGGCTACCCTTTCCTTTTGCTTACTGCCCATTTAACTAAGATCTGGCGTATATCAGTACACTCTTAACAGGTTTGTGCAGCAGCCACAATTGTTCCTATTAGTACCTAGAAAGGTGAGTATGGAATTGGTGATACTGATACAAAGAAGAGGTAATTTGTGTAAACTTTTTCTTTTATTAATTTCAGTTACCCTGCAAATTATTTTGTAGACTCAGCATTTTGCTTAAAAGCAAGTTAGCTTATGATCATTTGTCTGTCGGAATCCTGAATCATCTGAAATGGAATCAAACCAGGAGTTTACCATGTCGAGTGGCTTGCTCCTTTATTGCATCTACAGTGCAGGAACACAGTCGTAAGAGAGAGAAATTGATACCTCGTGGAAGCTATTTCATGATTTATGATTGTAGATGTAAACTAATGTGAATCTGGTTTTTGACATGGTTACTCAGCTTGACAATTCCTTTGTGTACAGGTTCATTTAACATAACCAATTATCTTTTGATTACAAATAGCTATGCTAGTACTAACCTTGTAAATATACGTCTGGCACTAAAAGACTTCTGAAATGTGGTATTTTAACTCTAAATCTTTAGGAAAGAAAAGTGTGTATTGATGGATTGTGATATTTATTGGGTCATAATGTATTTAAATTTTCTTTAATGCATATGTTAGTGATTGTTTACCGTGATAAAGTGCATAGAGGTCTCTGCAAGGAGTTCTGCATGGAAAGAATTACCTCATGTCAGTGGTCACTCCTCAATTAAAAGTTCCATTAGCAGATGATTCCTGCTTCTGTTTTGTGTACTGATTGCATTTTATTGCCTCTAAATCAGATTCCTAGACAGGGAATAAATAAAC